TCAGTGTTTTATTTTTAGAATTTATTTCCACCTTTTCTGTCCGTGATTGGTTCATATTCCCGAAGTAGCCACACAACAAATTACCATGCACATCTATCACTTAATTGGACCTAGTAGCCTAGTAAATAGATAGGCTATATGTAGTTCAAGTTTTGTAATCCCATGGGCAGCGCGGTTTATAAAATAATGCCGAATTTAACAGGTGAAAAGTTTGTTTTACATTGAAGTAGGCATATGTATGCTACTGTAAGTACTGTAATAAAACAAAAATGGAGTAGCCTGCCCTAGACAATGTTTCAGAATTCTGCTGACAGGTCCACAACAATTTGCCATTGTGTTCTCTTTCAGAAACGGACACAGTCCTTTGCCAGATACAGCATAAATTAGTCAATAGACCGGTAGCTTATGTCAAATCATTTTACAGTATGAGTAGGCTACAGTATTGCCGTACGATAGGAGCGCAATATCATTGTCTGTTTAATCTGAGAACCTACCCAGGCAGGACATAGAACCCCAATAGTCTATTGATAAACAAAATAGTGAACAACAATTCGTCTGGGGCTGTAGCATTTAGCCTGCTTTTAAATTGTTTGAATATACAATTAATCTTGCAGAATTTGTCAATGTGTGGGACAGGCAGCATGCTTGTTTAGCTTGAAAAAGTCACTGCAAAATATAAATACATCTCAATATTTTTGTACGTGCACAGACTTTTCAGCAATGGAGCACACAGAAATGTTGTGTGAAATTTACGCAATGGTTATAAATGAGGGCCCTGCCATCTCCGTCCCCCCAGGACTTTATTACTTGTTGAGAAGGGTCCACATTTCATAGAAATGGCCCATCAGGCAAAGACATCAGATTAACATCCAATTTGGTTGATATTAAAGTGGTAACAAATGTAAATTCAACTTGGAATGAACCCAAAACATTATTGTTGGTATGTGGTTAAAATTTGGGTTAGAATGAGACATGAAAAACAGTGTGGCTTTTTTAGCAAATTCATGATGTTGACAATGTTGATTCAACCTATATTTTGTGTGAGTGTGTCACGGAATCTGCCGAGGCTGCTCCTCCTCCTTGCTCGGGCAGGTTTCGGCGGTCGTCGTCCCCGGAGTACTAGCTACCACCGTTGTATGTTTCTATGTTCGTTTGCTTTTGTCTGATTGTTGTACACCTGTGGTTAGTTAGCGTTGATTATGTGTCCTATAAGTTCTCGTTTTGTTAGTCATGTGTTGTGTGTTATTGAGCTTCCTGTCTTCGTGTCTGTTTTGGTTTTCCCTCCTTGTGTTTTAGGAGAGGTTTTCGCACTTGTTGTGCACGTTTAGTATTTATCCTGTTCGTTTACACCTGTGTGCGTATCGCTCGTCTCCGGGCACTTTTGCTCGTATTTATCTACTAAAGACTGTTGAACGAAGCTTCTGTGTCCTGCGCCTGATTCCCGCACCTTCCACATACAGCACTCTTGACAGAATAACACACCAAGACTGGACCAAGCAGCGTGTCCAGGAGCCATCGCCAGGGAGATCTCTAGCGGATCTCCTTCGCCTCCTCGACTGGGTCAAGCCGTGTGAGGAAGAGAAGGGCTTGACATGGAAGCAGAAGGGCGAAAGGCTGGCGAGAGATATGGAGACCTGGTCCACGGGTAGGAGAGAAGCCCAGAAATTTTTTAGGGGGGGGCTCACGCCGTGGACGACATTCCTGCTCTCCGCACCAAGTCAGTGGTGCGCTTCGTCAGCCCGGTCCAGCCCGCTCCTGCTCCCCGCACCAAGCCAATGGTGCGCGTCGCCAGCCCGGCCCGGCCTGTTCCTGCTCCCCGCACCAAGCCAATGGTGCGCGTCGCCAGCCCGGCCCGGCCTGTTCCTGCTCCCCGCACCAAGCCAATGGTGCGCGTCGCCAGCACGGCCCGGCCTGTTCCTGCTCCCCGCACCAAGCCTATGGTGCGCGTCGCCAGCCCGGTCCGGCCTGTTCCTGCTCCCCGCACCAGGCCAATGGTGCGCGTCGCCAGCCTGGTCCGGCCCGTTCCTGCTCCCCACACCAAGCCAGTGGTGTGCGTCGTCAGTCCGGCACGGCCCGTGCCTGTTCCACCGGTGCCTGATCCGGCACCGGTCAGCTGCTTCACGCCGGAGCTAGAGCAATCCGCTCCACCAGTGTGCAGTCCAGCTCCGGCCAGCGGGGCCAGACCGGACCAGGGGTACTTTGGGGGGTTGGAGAGGGAGTGGGGATCAGGCCCGGAACCGGATCCGCCGCCAAGGCGGAGTGCCCACCCGGTCCCTCCCCTGTGGTGTTTGGTTGGCGCGGCCGGAGTCCGTGCCTTTGGGGGGGGGGGGGGGGGGGGGGTACTGTCACGCCCTGGCTCTGGGGACTCTAGTATGTTGAGCCAGGGTGTGAATTTTCATTTGTGTTCATTCTAGTATTGTGTTTCTATGTTGGCCGGTGTGGTTCTCAATCAGAGGCAACATGAATCAGCTGTTGCTTGTTGTCTCTGATTGGGAACCATACTTAGTCAGCCTGTTTCCCACAGTATGGTGTGGGATCTTGTTCCAGTGTGGTTTGTGTTAGACCGAGGACGTCACGTTATCGTTTGTTGATTTGTTAGTGTAATCATTAAATAAAAGGTATGTTCGCCTTCAACGCTGCGCCTTGGTCCTCTGTTCCCGACGATCGTGACAGAGGGTGTGGTTTGTTAGATGGAAGTGTATTTGGGGCCGCTACAAAGCTTTTATCTATACTGAACAAAAATATAGACGCAACATGAAACAATTTCAACGATTCTACTGAGTTACAGTTCATATAAGGAAATCAGTCAATTTTAAATAAATTCAGTAGGCCCTAATCTATGGATTTCACATGACTGGGCAGGGGCGTAGTGGGGAGCTAAGCCCAGCCAATCAAAATGAGTTTTTCCCCACAAAAGGGCTTTATTACAGACAGAAATACTCCATAGTTTAATCAGCTGTCCGGGTAGCTGGTCTCAGACGATCCCGCAGGTGAAGAAGCCGGATGTGGAGGTCCTGGGCTGGCATGGTTACACATGGTCTGCGGTTGTGAGGCCGGTTGGTTGTGAGGCCGGTTAGACGTACTGCCAAATTCTCTAAAATGACGTTGGAGGCAGCTTATGGTAGAGAAATTGATATTACATTTTCTGGCAACAGCTCTGGCGGACATGCTCCCTCAAAACTTCCGACATCTGTGGCGTTGTGTGACAAAACTGCACATTTTAGAGTGGCCTTATATTGTCCCCAGCACAAGGTGCACCAGTGTAATGATCATGCTGTTTAATCAGCTTCTTGATATGCCACTCCTGTCAGGTGGATGGATTATCTTGGCAAAGGAGAAATGCTCAGTAACAGGGATGTAAACAAATGTGTGCACAAAATTGGAGAGAAATAAGCTTTTTGTGCGTACAGAACATTTCTGGGATCTTTATATTTCAGCACACGAAACAACACGGGACCAACACTTTACATGTTGAGTTGATATTTTTGTTCAGTATACGTCAAGCAAAGTAGGAAGGCTATCTAGGTACAAAAGGCCATGTTAACTGAGGCCATGTGTTATCAAACACTTCAAGAAAACAAGATGTCACTTTAACTGCCTTTTTGACAAGGCACCTACAGTAGACACACCCCATTCCATCTTATGCCCTGTTACGCTAACTATGTCAAAGCCCCGTGACCGAACTCCACCGATACCACAGATCTACAGTACTAATAGGTGGTGTTTCATAACCTAACCTGTGTTGTCAGAGGCTGCGTCCCTAATGGCACCCTATTCCCTTTGTAGCGCACTACTCAAAGGTGGTGCACTATAAAGGGAATAGGGTGCCATTTGGAACACACTCCTAGTCTGCAATACACTGTTTACAGTAGTACAGATACTGTAACTCTGATAGGTGGTGTTTCCTAACTTGTATTGGTGTAGTCTGCGATATATGTTGACAGTTGCTCCAGTAGACGTGGGGTCGTCTAGAAAAACACATCCTGCCAATTTAGGTTTGATGTTGGTGGATGACCTCATCCAGGGAGAATCCAAAACACTGGCCTTGTGCTCCATCCATAGCAAGTCATTCAAATCGTTCATCATCTGTCAAACTTGTTTACCTTGCTTTCCCATCCGTGACTAAAATAATTTAATTTCCTGGAATGGTTTAGCTAGAGCGGACTGATGCAGAAAATTGGCAAAGAAGCCCTGAATTATAGTTCTGAGTGTTTGTCTAATCAGTATATTCTGAGGATTAATAGTACACATAAGGGATGGGAGTTTTTTCTGACCACCAATGTGACCTGAACAGGGAAAATTCTGGTCCCTAGTTATAGGGCCTGGTCATGGAACATGGTCAGGAAAAACTCCTGGCCTTAATAATAGTAACGTCAAGCTTCTCCCTCCATTGCCTATTGTTGTAATAGGAATTTGCAGGTGAACAAAAGAGAAGAGCAGTAACAGATTGAGTCAATAAAAAAATCTATCAGGTTTATTACAAGTTGCAACATTGAGACAACACCCAACACGGAAGCAGAGAAAATGTCTAACTGGCCTCTTGGAGACAGGCCCTTTATGTCTTAATCAGACAGCACCAACTGTTCTGTAAACACCAGCCCGAGAGGCTTGTAGGAAGTAAAACCCAAAAGGCAATGACTGTCAGCTGCTACAGAATCACACATCAGTGTGTCTTCGATCTACTTCCAGTCTGGCGTCAATCACTATCAACAGATATGAGAATAATCCATAACATTCAGTATCAAGTCTAGTGACCATCTACCCGCACATTGAGTAGAACACTGGAAATCATGTATGTTACAGAAAGGGAAAATTATATAAATATGCTAAACATTGTGTTAAACACTCTAAACTGAATATGAACTTTAGTGATTTTATATTTTCCCATTATAATTGTCTTTGAATGGGATTCTGTGGTTATGGGAATTTCTGCCAAGGTCAACAAAAATTGCAGGTTCAAGATCTCTCATAACCCCTGTCCATGCATCTCTCTGTTCTAGGTGTGCTGTACAGTGAGGTGTACCGTCCCTGCAGTGTCATGCTACTGGTGAACCCCCACAGTGGGAAGGGCCAGGCCCTCAGCCTCTTCACCGGACACGTCCAACGTATGCTCAACGAGGCCGGGGTCCCACACACACTGGTCATCACAGGTGAGTTTAGCGTACTGTATGTACACTACCAGTCAAAAGTTTGGACACACCTACTCATTCAACAGTTTTTCTTTATTTTTACTATTTTTTACATTGTAGAATAATAGTGAAATAACACATATGGAATCATGTAGTAACCAAGAAAGTGTTAAACAAATCAAAATATATTTTATATTTGAGATTCTTCAAATAGCCACCCTTTGCCTTGATGACAGCTTTGAACACTCTTGGCATTCTCTCAACCAGTTTCATGAGGTAGTCACCTGGAATGCATTTCAATTAACAGGTGTGCCTTCTTAAAAGTTAATTTGTGGAATTTCTTTCCTTCTTAATGCGTTTGAGCCAATCAGTTGTATTGTGACAAGGTAGGGGAGGTATACAGAAGATAGCCCTATTTGCTAAAAGACCAAGTCCATATTATGGCAAGAACAGCTCAAATAGGCAAAGAGAAATGACAGTCCATCATTACTTTAAGACATGAAGGTCAGTCAATACTGAAAATGTCAAGAACTTTGAAAGTTTCTTCAAGTGCAGTCGCAAAAACCGTCAAGCACTATGATGAAACTGACTCCCATGAGGACCGCCACAGGAATGGAAGACCGTTCAGAGGGGACTGTGTGAATCAGGCCTTCATGGTCGAATTGCTGCAAAGAAACCACTACTAAAGGACACCAACAAGAAGAAGAGACCTGCTTGGGCCAAGAAACACAAGCAATGGACATTAGACTGGTAAAAATAATAAACCTTTGATGTAGGTGTCTTCACTATTATTCTACATGTAAGAAATAAAGAAAAACACTTGAATGAGTGGTTCTCAAACTTTTGACTGGTACTGTACAGACACACACATGCATGCATGAACGCACACACAACGCTCCCTCGCACCTCTCGACCCACACAGTCGACATCTCCAGCGACGCATCCGGTACACCACTGCGCCTCGTGGCGACTGGACAAACCAAATCAGAATCATTATTCTGTGTCCCTCCACTCCAATTGGCAATGATCCACAAAGCAAGCTAATGCCCGTCTCTCTCAAGCTGACCCTCCCTCTTTCTCCCCCCTCTCCCTCCCCCATTTATAATCCTCTGGCTGTTTTCAGCACTAGCTGGCAGTCATTACTCTGATCAAGTGCTGCTGGCACATATGTATGCATGTAGATCCATTATGTAATATGTTATGTTTATACACAAACCTCTGTAAATCTGGTTCAACGTGATGTTATGCCCTATTGATGGGCTAATAATCTGTGTATGTGTGTGTGTGTGTGTGTGATTTGATGTAATTTATAAGCCACATTGATGGGGATAATCGTCATAATGTGTGCTGCTACAGTCTGGGGACATTTTAATGATAATGTCCTGGTTTTGCACTGGGCTTCTGGTTCAAAGATCATCAGATGGGTCATATCCATTAGGGCACACTGTAGCAAAATACTTTGCAACTGAAAAGGAAAACATGTTTTTTATTGGACAAGTTTAGGCAGTCCCAACCATGTTTTAGTACATTTTCTATCGTTTGGGCTCCCGAGTGGCGCAGCGGTCTAAGGCACTGCATCTCAGTGCTTGAGGTGTCAATACAGACCCCCTGGTTAGATTCCAGGCTGTATCACAACCGGCCGTGATTGGGAGTCCCATAGGGCGGCGCACAATTGGCCCAGCGTCGTCCAGGTTTGGCCGGTGTAGGCCGTCATTGTAAATAAGAATTTGTTCTTAACTGAATTGCCTAGTTAAATAAAGGTAAAATAAAAATAAATAAATAAAAATGAATACGACCCAGATGTAGCTTTTGAAGCCCTAAATTTCAGCCCTCCTTTCAGTCTATTGAGTTTCTCTCCCTCTCTCTGTTCTTAAATCACTGCAGTGTCAGAGAGCAGTCAAGAAAATGAATCCCTTTCCCAAAACTGAGAGAGAAATCTTCTGAACACATTCTGAAGGGCTGAATATGTTAAAATTGGAAAATAGAAAAAAGAAAAAAGAGTTTAGAACTACCCCAGACTTTGGGGACACACTTGATGGGAAATTAATCCTGAGAACAATGTGTGGATAGATTCAACCATGCTGAAAAGGTCAATGTGAAAAGAAAATATCAGTGTCTCTCGGTGCTAATCCAGTGAGACTGAGGCAGGGCCAGAGCTGTGCTAGCCTATCGGACGGTTAGCATGGGGACTCTAATGAGAGAGGACAGGCCCATTATTGGAGCCCTGGCTGTGTGGCGGTGCCAGAGGGAGGGGAAGGATGAGTCCACAGCCCAGAGAGAGACTGGTTAACTGGGCATGGAGGAGGCTTGGCACAAGGGTCTCAGAGGATCTCTTTCTCTCTCTCTCCATCTTTCCCTCGCTCTCCCCCTCAGCTCCCTCTTGCTCTACCCTCTCTAGGCTGAGAAAAGCCTGTCAGGCACGATTAAATGAATGACAGCACGCTTCTCCTGTCTTCCCTCATTCAATATCAATTCTAACTCCATTTCAGTGGCCTTGTCAGAGATAAGAGAACTTCCAAAAGTCCTTCTTTTAGCTGTGTTTCTATCCATATTTTTCACATTTTGTCCTGAAAATAAGAGTCAGAAAGACAGGAGACTAAGGAAGCATCTCAATTGTCTAAAGTTGTCTCCTCTAGTCTTGTTAGTGTCAATCAGTGCAGATGAAGCAAGGAGAAAAAGAGAGGAAGCCACTGTAGACTATTGACATGTACCAAAGCAAAATGAAAAGGATCTATGGTAGGAGGACGCCTTCTCTTTGTCAGTTCAAACGAAGAAGGAAAGTATACAAGGAAAGGAAGCTACCTTATTGAGGGACACCCTAACAGAAGGAAAGTGTCTGTGGCAGGATGTTATTCTGTTATCTTATCTTCCCAGAGACATATAGTCTTTCCAGTGAGATCAGTGCAGTTGTGACCCATCTAGCATATGTGTTAGCTGTGGTGGTTTTGGAACAGAACAGTAAATGTCTATATTATAGCCTGTGGTCCGTTCTCAATTCAGATGGAGGAAACTAGATAGTAGAAATAGCCACTGTTGACAATTGAGAGTCCATTTGAGACCTAGGAGAATCTGTTGCAGGATGTTATCTTTCCAGTGCAGTTGTAACCTAGCACTGGTTGGTTTAGAACAGTACAGTGAGTTATATACAGTGAGGGGAAAAAAGTATTTGATCCCCTGCTGATTTTGTACGTTTGCCCACTGACAAAGAAATGATCAGTCTATAATTTTAATGGTAGGTTTATTTGAACATTGAGAGACAGAATAACAACAAAAAAATGTCAAAAATGTTATAAATTGATTTGCATTTTAATGAGGGAAATAAGTATTTGACCCCCTCTCAATCAGAAAGATTTCTGGCTCCCAGGTGTCTTTTATACAGGTAACGAGCTGAGATTAGGAGCACACTCTTAAAGGGAGTGCTCCTAATCTCAGCTTGTTACCTGTATAAAAGACACCTCTCCACAGAAGCAATCAATCAATCAGATTCCAAACTCTCCACCATGGCCAAGACCAAAAAGCTCTCCAAGGATGTCAGGGACAAGATTGTAGACCTACACAAGGCTGGAATGGGCTACAAGACCATCGCCAAGCAGCTTGGTGAGAAGGTGACAACAGATGGTGCGATTATTCGCAAATGGAAGAAACACAAAATTTCCCTCTGCCTGGTGCTCCATGCAAGATCTCACCTTGTGGAGTTGCAATGATCATGAGAACGGTGAGGAATCAGCCAAGAACTACACGGGAGGATCTTGTCAATGATCTCAAGGCAGCTGGGACCATAGTCACCAAGAAAACAATTGGTAACACACTACGCCGTGAAGGACTGAAATCATGCAGCGCCCGCAATGTCTCCCTGCTCAAGAAAGCACATATACAGGCCCGTCTGAAGTATGCCAATGAACATCTGAATGATTCAGAGGAGAACTGGCTGAAAGTGTTGTGGTCAGATGAGACCAAAATCGAGCTCTTTGGCATCAACTCAACTCGTCGTGTTTGGAGGTGACCCCAAGAACACCATCCCCACCGTCAAACATGGAGGTGGAAACATTATGCTTTGGGGGTGTTTTTCTGCTAAGGGGACAACACAACTTCACCGCATCAAAGGGACGATGGACGGGGCCATGTACCTTCAAATCTTGGGTGAGAACCTCCTTCCCTCAGCCAGGGCATTGAAAATGGGTCGTGGATGGGTATTCCAGCATGACAATGACCCAAAACACACAGCCAAGGCAACAAAGGAGTCGCTCAAGAAGAAGCACATTAAGGTCCTGGAGTTGCCTAGCCAGTCTCCAGACCTTAATCCCATAGAAAATCTGTGGAGGGAGCTGAAGGTTCGAGTTGCCAAACGTCAGCCTCGAAACCTTAATGACTTGGAGAAGATCTGCAAAGAGGAGTGGGACAAAATCCCTCCTGAGATGTGTGCAAACCTGGTGGCCAACTACAAGAAACGTCTGACCTCTGTGATTGCTAACAAGGGTTTTGCCACCAAGTACTAAGTCATGTTTTGCAGAGGGGTCAAATACTTATTTCCCTCATTACCTGGGATAGGATAAAGTATTCCTTCTAACCCCCCCCCCCCCCCCCCCAAATTGTAAAGTGGTTATCCCACTGGCTATAGGGTGAACGCACCAATTTGTGAGTCGCTCTGGCTAAGAGCGTCTGCTAAATGACGTTAATGTGCCCTTGAGCAAGGCACTTAACCCTAATTGCTCCTGTAAGTCGCTCTGGTTAAGAGCGTCTGCTAAATGACTAAAATGTAAATGTAAATGTAATTAAAATGCAAATCAATTTATAACATTTTTGACATGCGTTTTTCAGGATTTTGTTGTTGTTATTCTGTCTCTCACTGTTCAAATAAACCTACCATTTAAAATTATAGACTGATCATGTCTTTGTCAGTGGGCAAACATACAAAATCAGCAGGGGATCAAATACTTTTTTCCCTCACTGTAGCCTGTGGTCCTGTGGCTTGTTCTCTATGGCTGGTCCTCAGGGGGGGAGAGCGTGCGGTGAGGCGGTGGTTCTAGTGGTTCTACATCCCTCAGGCTGTCGCTGTCCCTGTCCCTGTCCCTGTCCCTGGGTGCTGACTAAGCTGCCACAGCGTGTCCTCCATCTCCCAACCGGGTTGACTTATCTATACACACCACTGCCACTTCTGCTCCAGCTGTTGACCCAGAGTCTCCCGTTAGACACACACTCAGTGCAGCCTTTGTGAACAGGTAGTCACCCACGCACACATGCGCACACACACACGGCAGAGAAAAGGATCCCTGCTATTACTGTCAGTGTGCATTATGGAGCCCTGGTGCAGTCGGACCTAGACCATTGAATGGTCCCTTTTTTAAATGTCATGTCTGTGTCCTTACTTCACTCAGCCCAGCATCGTTTATACCCTAGTGTGAGATGGGTTTGGAACCTCCTTTTGTGGGAGGCAGGGTCAGTGAGAGTGTGGCTGGGAGGAGAGGGACAGAGAAAGAAGACTGAAGTAAAGTGATGGTATATTGGTGGTATTGGAGGTTAAGCTTCACGCTTTTTCTTTTTTTGGAATCCCAGAGTTGTGTGAATTATAGCTTCTTTAGAGGGACAACAATGGCTGCCCTGAGACCAACCATGAAAGACACGTGCACGCCCACACACACACTGTAGAGAACAGGATAGTTGTCCACACACACACACACACACACACACACACACACACACACACACACACACACACACACACACACTGTAGAGAACAGGATAGTTGGCCAAACACACACACCTCCCCTCCAGCCATGGGCCAGTGTAGAGCAGAAAGGAGCAGTGTAATGATTGTCTCATTCCACAGAGCCACAGAGCTGGGAAGAGGAAGAACGACTGCTTGCAGCCCAGAGGCTGAGCCGGTCAGTCAAGTTACACTACAGTACTGCACTGCACCCAGTCCCAGACCTCATATATTTTAACACTCATAAAATGATAAAAAGCACCAACTTCCCTCCATGAGCAGTCTGTGTGTATGTGTGTGTGCATATGTGTGTGTGTGTGTGTGTGTGTGTGTGTGTTAAAGTGCTATCTCCCCTCTTTTTTGCTATCGGCTACTGTCAGCTATCCCCATAAACAGTAAAGGGAGTGTGTTAACCACATCAATATTAACATCTCCTCCTACTCAGCAACCAACCTCTTCTATTTTACAGCTCTGTTGCCCTCCGCCTTAAAACTGACCGGTTACCTATACACACACTATGTTTACAGCCTCTGTATATGCAAATGAGCGCCCTATAGGCCGTGGTCAAAAGTAGTGCACTATGTAGGGAATAGGGTGCCATTTGGGACGCAACCTCAGTAATCGGATGCCTCCCCTCGAGGCCTATGTTGCCGAGGGAAATGCTCTCTACTGTTGTGTCAAGACCAGCATAAAACGATACAGCGAACAATCGCACTACTGTATTGTAGACTACACACACAGAAAGGAAAAATAGAGATTGGGTATTGCTGTCAGTGTCAGTGGGTTTCAGATGCAAGGACAAACAAGGGAATATAGAGAGCTACAAAAGTGTTTCCCAACTCCGGTCCTCCAGTACCCCCAACAGTACACATTTCCGTTGTAGCCCCGGACAAACATACCTGATTCAACTTGTCAAGGGCTTGATGATTAGTTGACAAGTAGAATCAGGTGTGCTTGTCAGGGGGCCACAACAATAATATGTACTTTTGGGGGTACTGGAGAACCGGAGTTGGGAAACACTGCTATACAGTATCTCTGTGCAAAGAGACACTTACGCCTCGATCACACCGGCAGCATCATTGCATTTTGGTACACCAGAAGTACGTTCATTTCCAATGGAACGCTGCGTTTGCCTTGCAGCATTGCGTTGCCGAGGCAGTTGCAGTGTGTTCTGTGTGGTGCATACATTGGATTTATCGAACGTATGCGTCAAACTGTATGCATAGACGGCTTGACAGAAATGGTAGCAGAAGGGGAATGATGAGCTTTTGTGGCACACATATCCAGATGATGCTGCGTACTATATCGGTGTGATCAAGGCGTTAGGCTGCGTTCACACAGGCAGCCCAAATCTGATATTTTTTTCACTCATTTGTCTTTTGACCAATTAGATCAGCTATGAAAAATATCTGATGTGATTGGTCAAAAGACCAATTAGTGGAAACAAAGATCAGAATTGGGCTGCCTGTGTAAACGTAGCCTTAGAGAGAGGTAGTAATAAGATTCATTGGGGAAGAAAGAAAAACTTGGCTTATGCTGTTAAGCTTGAGTGGCTACAACCAAAGAGCTCTTAGATGGTCTGGCCTTTTATAAAGAGTGTGTTTTGAGGAGAGAGGAAATACGTGTGTGCGTTTCACGGTGAGAGTGTGCTACTAATATTAACCCTGGCAGAGTGTTAGGGAAATGTAGTGGAATAAAAAGTGCGATTGAAAAGTAATGGTGATGATGATGATACAGGAAGCAGTACCAGTCACTCACTATATATAGACACCCCAGGAGGTTGGTGGCACCTTCATTGGGGAGGACGGGATCGTGGTAATGGCTGGAGTGGAATAGGTGGAATGGTATCAAATTTGATGCCATTCCGTTCGCCCCATTCCGGCCATTATTATGAGCCGTCCTCCCCTCAGCAGCCTCCACTGATAGACTACTGCCCCATAAAGAAAATGAATTACAGCTCTAGGAGCCATTAGTACAGATCTACGATCTGTTTACCCTCACCTAAGCATAACATTAACCATACAGGGAAATAACACAAAACTGACCTTAGGTTAGTGCTAGGGGAAACGTAATCCTGCTCCTGGTGGAATGATGGGTACAGTTCTAGGATAATCTTACCCTCACCTAAGACCAACCTTCACTATTTGGGGGAGAAACACGCAATCTGACCTTAGATCAGCATCATAGGGGAAACGTAATCTTACTCCTGTTGCAATGTACAATCTGCTGATTGCCCCAGTCTAATTTGATGGAGTGCCCTACCGTAATTTGGCCTTGTAATCTAATTTGCAATGTGATACTACATTTCATTAAGGTGGCATATCAACTGTCCTCTCTGCCCTAAAGACATGTGCTGCTAGCCTGGTCACAGGAGGTTGGTGGCACCTTAATTGGGGAGGACGGGCTCGTGGTAATGGCTGGAGCGGAATTAGTGGAATGGTATCAAATACATGGTTTCCATGTGTTTGATGCCATTCAATTGACTCCGTTCCAGACATTATAATGAGCCGTCCTCCCCTCAGCAGCCTCCACTGAGCCTGGTACTGTAGGTGGGATATCAGTTGTACTCTACTGCTCAGTCTAAAGAAGCCAACTGGCCACCGTTTGCTAGCCTGTTACCATACCTTCCATGTTCCCTTTGTTTTGTTCAGCTATTGTATTCACAACAACTTGATTGGAAAGTTAAAGATCTCACAACTACAAAAGAGGCCACGCACCACACACATAAACACACGTAAACATACTCTTCTTCCATGTATGTTTTCAGAGCGGCAGAACCATGCCAGAGAGTTGGTGAGAGAGGCTGACCTGTCACAGTGGGAAGCTATAGTCATCATGTCCGGGGACGGACTTCTGTTTGAGGTGAGGTACAAAATACAATAATCCATTCCTGCCAACATGGCATCCATTTAGCTTCTAAACCTCACCCAGTTTGCTGAGATCCGTGGCTCTACCTGACCTTGCTTATTGTTGCACAGACACCGATTTTAAGCCAATTTGTGGACTCACCAGCACTTTAAATGGAGAGTTTCCACTGAAAGTGCACTTTAGTTTAGACCAGGCCTTATCTTGGTCTGTGAAAGTGGCCCTAGATCTGGTGAGTCTCTGGCTGTTGGGTGACCCCTGCTCTATCTGTTGCCACAGGTGGTGAATGGCCTGATGGAGAGAGAGGACTGGGAGGAGGCCATCCAAACCCCACTGGGCATCCTACCGGGGGGCTCCGGTAACGCCCTGGCTGCCTCTATACACCACTACTCTGGGTGGGTGACACACCAATACCCCCATGTAGCAGTTAATTAGTAGCAGTTAGACACCACTACTCTTGGTTGGTGACGCACCAAGACCCCAATGTAGCAGTTAGACACCACTACTCTGGCTGGGTGACACACCAAGACCCCCATGTAGCAGTTAATTAGTAGCAGTTAGACACCACTACTCTGGGTGGGTGACACACCAAGACCCCCATGTAGCAGTTAGTCCCAATAATGTAATTTGAAAATGCATGCTTCGCCCCTCCCCTTCCTTGAACTACTCAATCTGGCATGATTGGATTGTGGCAAGTAATGCATTGCTTTGATGTTTCCCATGTTGGATGAGTGATTAGGAAGGGAATAATGAAGGAACAAGGAAACATGAATTAAAAACAAATCTATCCAGTTGGGTGAGAAATATACTTCAAGGAAGACCGAAACGAAGGATGCACTATAGACAACCATCTACACAGTCACAGGGCATACTACTGCCCATATGTTTGACAAACTGTATTGAGTCAATCTCCAGAATCAGTAACAGAGAATAAACCTACTGCTGCTGGCTCTTTCTTTAACCAACATAGTATAGAACATCAACACAATGAATCACAATTACACAACCAGCATGCCCTCCTGTCTATCCATCTCTGCCCCCCACCAGAAGCCCCAGTCAACCAGCCACACAATGAGAGGAAGGACCCAGAGTCTGTTTTGTTCTCTCTGCCCTGCAGGGGGATCCAGAATATGATCTGCTCTGTTTTTGATCAACAGTGGTTTACTGTATCACCGGTTGTCCTATGTATATAGGCTGGTCCCAGATCTGTTTGGGCTGTAGGCTATAGGACATTATGGTAAAACGGGTCAGTTTATAGATAGTACCCCCTCTACTGGTCGTTAAGAGATACTACACCCCAGTGGCTAATGCAAAAGTGACTAATGCAAAAGCACATACTAAGAAAATAGCTCAAACTGGTCCGATGTTATTGTTTATAAAAAACAATGTACAAAAACCGTGATAAAAGAAAGCAAACAGACACCCCAATGGCTATTATTGAATGGTGAGCCTAATGACTAGGTTGAATATTGAATACAAACTGAATATGGATACGCTGCCATATGGACGTGACCCCAGTGGTATGGAACTCCATTGAGACGTAATTACCTAATTGGCTGTGATGTAGAGGAGAAAAGACAGCAGGCTGGGTGGTTGATGTGGGGCTAGTGGTCCCATGACCTCTCTACCGCCTCACCGCCTCACCGCCCCCACCCCACCCCCCAGCCCCTTCTCCCAGCTGGGCTTGTCTTTGTTGTCTGTCATGTATACCGCTAACTCCCCCCTCTCTCTCCCCCAATCATCTTCCTTCTCCCCCCATCTTTCTCTCTCTTCCCCCCTGACAGGGCCCAGCCGGTGTCAAGCGAGGAACTGCTCGTCAGCTGTGGCTTCCTGCTGTGTAAGGGCCTGGTGTCTCGCATGGACCTGGCCTCCGTCCACCTGGGCTCCAGCCCCTCCAGCCCTACGCGCCTCTTCTCCTTCCTCTCGCTGGCCTGGGGCTTCGTGGCTGACGTGGACGTGGAGAGCGAGAAGTACCGCCATGTGGGCGCCGCCCGCTTCACCATGGGGACGTTGGTCAGGCTGGCATCGTTGAGGGTGTATAAGGGCCGTCTGGCATACCTGCCGGTTGACAAGGTGGATGGAGCGGAAGAGGATGGGCAATCGCCAGTCTCGTTGGAGGAGATGACCAGCGTGTCACCTCAACGCCAACCGCCATCGTCTGCTTTCTGCTCCTCCACCCTCCTCTGCCGACCTTCGAAGGACTCGCCGTGCCAGAACGCAGCCTACCACACCTTCCACAACTCCTGTTACTCAAACAAAGCCTTCAAGGTGAAGAAGAGGGAACCCATGTCCGCTAATGCCACGCTAACAGGCCCGCCAGACTCTCTCCTGGTGCCCCTGGACCAGCCGGTGCCCAGCGACTGGGTGGTGGTGCCCGAGGAGGACTTTGTCCTCATGCTGGCCATGTACCAGTCTCACCTGGCAGAGAACCTGTATGCCGCGCCCGACTCTACACTCGATGACGGACTCATCCACCTGATATACGTCCGAGCAGGCATATCGCGCACAGCCCTGCTCCGGCTCTTCCTGGCCATGGAGAAGGGCACCCACCTAGCCAACAACTGCCCCCACCTGGTGTACGCCCGTGTGCGGGCGCTGCGGCTGGAGCCCTACTCGCCCAAAGGGGTGATCACGGTGGACGGGGAGGTGGTGGAGTATGGGCCGGTCCAGGCCCAGGTACACGGCGGGATGGCCAGGCTCATCACTAGATGATAAACAAGATCCACTGGATGGATAGCTAGCGTTATCATGTTATGCTAATAGATATGCTACGCTAAAAGCTAACAGTTAGCATTTTCTGGACGATGCTATGCTAACAACTAGCGTTAGCATTTTCTGGACGATGTTATGCTCACATCTAAAGGGTAGGTGGGATCAATGGACTTTTTAGTCTTGGAAGTGCCATGATGGAGTAGCAAGGCTAGAACAAACAAAAAAAATCCACAATGGGTGGGTACGTTTTTATTTCTACAGAGCCCAATGTTCTCAATCTCCCCTTCCCATTAGTTTGCATTTAGGCTGTCCCAAAATGGCTTCCCACTAGCACAAAGCAACTGACCTTTAATTGGCTGTTGCAAGCTATGACATTAATATATTACTAGAACTGAGGTGAGAGATAGATCAAGAGCTCTGCTGTCTTACTCCATAAGCATAACTCTAGAAATATGAACATTCTCGCCCCACTGCAAACCCCACCCCCATACTCACCCACACATACAAACATTCTCCTTACCGGGGGGACATATGATGTAGGGCTTTGCCAACAGCGAGAACACCTCAAGCAGTGTCAGTCACCCACCCTGTCCCTCACACACCCTGGGCATGCTTTATGTCTATGGGAGGGCATCACTAAACTGCCATCGCAACTTGAATTTTCTTTCTTATGCAACAAATGGGGGTTGGATTGATGCCTTCATTGCGCTCTTCCGCTGTGACGTGGAAATATGGAAGATACATACAATCTCCGGGAGCCAGCATTGACATTATCAGAAACCAGCTTATTTGAACTCAAGTAATTAGGGGACTGTTGCGTCGATCCTGAAATCAACCCTCAACCATTGATGCTCAATTACAATAGGGTTGTTTTTGGTTAACTTGAAGCTTGAATCTCGAGGGCCAATAGTTTATGCTAAGGCCTAGACCCTGGACAACTTGATGACCGGTTTTGGATTTGAAAATATTTGAATTTATTTTGGATTAGGTATTGTTGTGATTAGCTGCAAACGCACCATACTTCCATGACTTCTTCAATCAACCAGCCACCTTACATTGACATGCAAACAAATATACTAAAGACATATTTTCAAGTAATTTGATATGTGCTTGTTTTATACCTCATATTTTCATGAACCACTAGCTTTAAATGGCCTAGAGTGAGAGAGACTGCCCTTACGTATTGTGCTGTGGCCTGTCCTGCAGAGGAAGGCATGCAGCACAGGTCCAGGTTAAGTGATTGATGACTTGTAGTGCCTGTATCAGGTCTCCGACTGCAGTCTTTCCCCATACACCTCCCCCCATCCATCCTTCTCCTCCATCCAATCTATCCATCCCGACTCCTCCTTTTCTTGACACTGCAGTGCACCACAGAGCAGTCCCAGTCGCTTTTGTCTGCCTGCAACTACAGCTGACACCCCAACAGTACAGACCCCTTCTCAGCCATCATCACCTAGGTGTCCTTATCATAAAGCTTTAAACACACAGAGAAGATAAACTATGAAATGATGACGAGCGCAACCAAAGGCTAATGTGATGCTAATACAGTAGCTAGCCTGAGTTTACGCTCGTCATAGCCCTCTTCTGTCCTGATTCTGAACTCTCGGAACGAGGGCGATTATTCTGCCTTAAACACAAAAGGAAGGGAGGGGACACTTGATTAAACAGCACATTGGTCAGGGGATGGGAAAGAGGGAGGGATGAGGGAGAGGTTTGACTTGTTAAATGCTGCATGAGGGACCAGCATTGTGTGGGATGCATCCCAAATGGCACCCTATTCTCTAAAAAGTGCACTAATTTTGATCAGGGCCCATAGGGCTCTCATCAAAAGTAGTGCACTATGTAGTGAATAGGGTGCCATTTGGCACATAACCCCTACTCCACAGATACACTGCTGTGGAGAATGAACATAATGTTTAGCATAAGGTTCTGACTGACAGTGAAAGAAAGATGTTTATGTTCATATTGTTCTTTGGAACCACAAAGTGCCCCTGATATGACTGAGTGCACTTTTGGGCCATGAGATTTTCCCAAAATGCAGAAATGTTAGTTTAATGTTTTGATATTGTGCAATGACTGTAGCTTTGATGTTGTAAACCTGCCCTTATTGCAGACTAAATCATTATAATGGGGAAGACAAATTCTATTTTTAAAGAAATTTGATTTTCGCTGTGCTACATGCAGAAGAAAGCACCTTGCATTGACGTTTAAAGTACAATGATTTACTGCGCTTTTAACCCTTTCAGGGGCATGAGCTCATCTGGCGTTACTCCCCTACTGATTAATTGATTGAGCTCTGCTGGCGTTCATCCCCTACTGATTGCCATTTTAGAGCAGCAGCACATACATTTCCAATCCCTACCTTGGTCGCGTTCCTCTGCTCAGACGTTGCATGCATCAACCAATGGTTGTGTGCCACGTTATCGACTGACAGATTGCTACATAGGTATTTTTGTGTGTCAGCTGTCTAGGAGTTGTAAGCTCTGGCAGGCGTCGGCAACACCTGGGCAGAGGAACGCGCCCCTTCGCATGCTGGGAATCAATGAGTTATGATGGGGAAATGGAGGTGAAAATATAAAGACGCACATGACATCACGGTCGCTTATTTCAGTTTCTCCATGAGATAAATTGTTGTTCAGACTCCATTGATTGTCACAGGAGTCTTCTGCTTGGCTCGGGCTTGAAACATGCTCCAAAAAAATCCATTCCTTATAGCTAGCTTGGGCCTTCAGTTTTTCCTGACAAGAAAACTCTGGGCCCTACTCATAGCCTATGCAAAGTCTACCTGCCTTGCTGGTGATGCAGTAATAATATAATAATATGGCATTTAGCAGACGCTTTTATCCAAAGCGACTTAGTCATGCGTGCATACATTTTTTTTTTGTGTGTATGGGTGGTCCCGGGGATCGCAGTCCCTGGTGCTTTCTCAATTGTAACATTTATTACCCTTTTTTTTCTTCTGCTTGTTTGCACTGATTGGAAAGTATTTGGCAAATGAAAACAATATGGCATTAGGCTGACAGGCTTTCACCTGGTCAGTTCTTTCAGATCAGAGCAATGCAGGAAAAGAAACGAGGACAGACTTTAGACGATTGAGAAAGAGCCCCTGAAACTGTTTGGTGTGCCTTGAACATGTCGCCCCTTAGTGGTGGGAAGAGGGGTGTGTACTGTACTGTCATGACGCATAGACTTTGGATACAACCCTGATACCTGTCCTATTCATTTCCTCATTGGATTTATGAGGAGACGGACCTACTCCTGTAACCCATTTCCAGTTTAATTGAGTGCTTGCTTAAGAACGGAAAATGAGGATTGATTAAGCTTAGATGTCCCAGTTTGTGAAATCTCTGGCACAGACCCTAATATACTCAATTGTTGACACTTGAAGGTGTATAGCTTAATAACTTTCTGTCCGGTACTAAATCCCAAAGATCTTGGATTTGTTAGATGTTAAGACGTCTTACTGCTGCTGTTTGACTGTTGTCTTGCCAGTTTTTTCCTCAGGTGTATTTGGGAAAGTAACTGTTCTTTTTACAAATCTTGATGATTTATATTCTTTACTTGTTGAGTTGAATATAGAGCTCCATTTTTCCACTTGGCAAATGTTGAATTAAAATAATCAAATAAGTGAAAACAAAATGTTACTTGATTGTTTCTTTTGAATAACAAGATTAAGTTGCTGTTTTGTCCTTTGAATGAGGTCAACTAAACACTGTTGTACAACTAACTTTAATCCACCACAAGCGACAACTTGTAACCATACTGCTTGCAAAGTTTAATGCATCTCTTTAAACAGCTCGACGCAATGAAAGGAACTGTAAAAAAAAATTACAAATCAAGAAAAAAAAGAAATCAGCAAATGTATACATATGTCCCAAGTGTTCACATGACAACTTACAGATAAAGTTTAAATATATATGTATTTATAGTATAATCATGACTTCTGTACAGAGGGATCAGGCTAAAAATCATACGTTTATTAGTTTACCAATACAGGCCACTGTGGAAATGTTCACATCGTACAGTCAAGTCTTGTGTCCGTTCAAGGCTTAAAGCAACATGTTACATGCTTTGGCTGGAAATCTCTCGCAGTAATTAATAAGTCTGAATAGAAACACACAGAAAATAGTACATCACTTTATGTGCTTGATCCTCCATGTTTTCTTTCGAGACCTGGCTTCACATTTTTTATGTTTTTGCAATAGTGGAGAAACAAGGGCATGAGAGAGAGAGAGATCTAAGGTTGCAAACACTGAAGGTTTGCGGGAACCAACCAAGGCTGCAACGCTACAAGTACTGCAGCCTAAAATGGGAGAGCAAAGGAACGTCCTTAAGGGCTTACTGTACAGGCAGCAAAGGAGAAAAGAGCAAGAAAGTCGAGGAAGAGAAGTAATGGAAGCCTGATTGACATGCTTGGTACAGGAATGTGACTTTAAAAAAAGGTGGATGGAGGGGAAAAAGCAACAAAAAAAAAACATCCCATTCACCTGTCCTTTTCTTCTTCACAAGAATCAGTTTGTCTCACGCTTTGCACTCAAACTAATTTACAATGGCACATTGTATTGTCTCACACACACTCATGAACACTAAGCATCTTTATTCAAGCAAAAAGATTAGCCAACTCCCTCGTTTTTCAGTTCACAGGTAAGCACAAGGGGAATGGACCAACAGTATAATATCTGGCAAAAAGCATGAGCATAATAATATATTCCAGATGGATGTAAACAACGACTGTTCAAATAACCCAGGAAGCACGATCAGAACTAGCCCAGTTCCAGATCTGTTTGTGCATGCTTGCTAAGTTGTCAAAGACCACACAAACAGATTTGGGACCAGGCTATATAAGAACCAGGTGGCGTTAATCTCTGCACTTTCTTTCACAGTACTCCTTTTAAACACGATCCTAGATCTGTTTGTGCTTATATCAACTACTAGTCAGAGGAGTTGGTCAAAGCACATACAGGTCTGGGACCAGGCTACTTTCATTCTTTGGAGCACACAATGAGTGGAACCACTGACCCCTGGTGGCCATACAGAGAATAGCTCCCTGCGTTAATAAATGGAACACAATGTTTCACCCAATTCAAGCAAGTATAAACGAACCAGCAATAATTTAAAGAAATATTAAAGTAATATCACATAGTACAAGCATGACTATGTCATGGGCCATGTTATCAAAAGTAACTCATTCACCCTTTAAACTGGGAAAATTAAAGGGAGAGTGTTCCAATCTTGGGGGCAAACAGTGACACGCCATTGTGCTCCAGGCAAGGGCAAGAACAAAATCAAGTATAATCTTATCAAAACATTCTGCATCCACACCCAATCTCGGTCTCCAAACTTCAATCAATCTCCATCACTGAACAAACAGCAGTTGAGAGTAACATTGGAATACAATGGCTAAAGCTGTGTAAATTCACCATTCAACTTCTGGGCTGAAGTTGCCATTCTCAAAGCAGATCTGGGATCAGATATTTTGTTTTATTTATTATTAGTTGTATACATTTTTCCTACCTCAGAAGTCCAGGAAAAACTGATCCCAGATCTGATGTTAGACGACCAACCTCTGAACACTGGAATGGGGGTGAATGTAGTGGGTGTCAGGCGGGGGTAACAAGCAGCTCTGTACATAGGGTCTGATAATATATTAAGAAGAACAATTCAAGTAAGGCAACATGTTGAGATGAGATAGAACTCATGTAGTGATGGAATGGATAGCGGCTTGTTACTCGTCATGTGCACTGTTGTGGCTCCGCCTCTAGTAGTAGCCCAATGAGTGAGCAGAAGAAGAGAGGATTGTGGGATAGTTCTGGAGGACCATTCTGAACGACCAGCCTCAAAGGTCAATGAAAGCTGCAAGGAAGGAAAAACATCACTACCTTGAAGATGGAGAAGGTTAAGACAACGTAATAATTCCATGGCGAAGCGTTAGAAAATAAACATTCATTGGACCAGCGCCAGAGCGAAAAATGAATGGAAGTTAATGTTAGCAGTACAGAAAGTTTGCCATCAAAGGGGAAAATAAGCATAATCATAGTGAATGTCAGCTAACTACTCAGCAAACACATAGCATAACTGTTTCTGTCATTCTAATCATTTAAAAAAAAATCTAATTATCTACAGCCACAACTTGATTTCCCGACTGCTGGTCACATTTTCAATGCTAATCCTGTAGAATAAACAACGCTGCTGGTCCAATGAATGTGTTTATTTTCTAACACTGCCGCATTAAAATATTACATTTTCAACCTAGCCTTGATCCCTTGTAGAATAAAAAAAGATGTCAAGTTGAGTCTTAAGACAGAAATGGGTGATATAACTAAACGTTTGTACAGTGTGACAAAGTTATCAAGTCTTAGAATGGAAACTTTCTACAGTCAAATATATTAGAGAGCTAATTTGACCTTACCTAGAGACACTGTCCTTCATATAGTTTTACATGTAACTGCACACCTCTATTCTAGAGCCAAGTCTCTCCTCAGGGATATACCGTAGGGCTTAGTAGGTTATATAACATCCAGAAGTAGTGATTTATGTAAACTTGTCACTCAAGTATTTCTGCAACGAGATGTTTTGGTGTGAGCGATTGGCGAGGAAACCAGCAAGGACATAGCAGAGTGAAGCGGTTGTAGGTGGGCAGTTTATAACATTCAGATAGTTAGTGTGTGTCTCTAGAGCGAGAAAGAACGAGAGGAGCAGGGCAAAAAGCGAACAACAAGTAATCTACTTAAAAAGAAACTCAATACGTCAGCATGTCAAAAGGTGCCCAACCCTGCAGAGATTGTCCGTTGATTGGAGAGTGCAGGGTGGTAAAGGGGCACAGGAGCAGTGCTAAAGGTGCCCTCCAGGGTCAAAGGAGCCAGGCATACTGGGAAACGTAGTTCAGAGAAAACCCAGCTTTGAGAATCTGTCCGGGTTGCCCTTTTTGACCCTGCCGATTCCAGGACGCCATGGCTACTGTAACAGTCTCCATTTATTTTATTTTTTTAAGATCCAATTGACCCAGCAGAGTAACATTTTTAATTTGTGCTAAGAAATCAAATTTGTGGTGACAATTCCCAAAGAATGTCTCTCTTCAGGTAATTCCACTACCCCTTACAGCAGCTATAGACGATGCAAGTCAATGGCACCTTTTTTAAAATCAAACCAGCTTCTCTACATCTCTCCTTCCTTTCCTCCCTCCCTCCCTCCCTCGTCCGTCAGGGCCTAGGAGGGCCCACGAGGGGCAGACGTGTGGCGCTGCCTTCCAGTCGAGGCTCTCACTCCTTGTCCGGCTGTCCATGAGAGCTCAGAAGGTCCGATATGGGGGGGGGGGGGGTTAGATCCCCATAAGACACTCCCCCCGTCCCGCCCCATCTGGCCTCTGGACATTGAAGGAAAGCGCATACACCCAGTTAGCTTCTAGTGGTCTGAGGGAGGGGAGGAGAGGGCAAGAGGGCACTAGATAGATGGCCGAGGGGCAGGGGCACTGGGCAGCAGTTGGGCAAGGGGGATCAGAGGGTACGGGGGCTATTTGGGAGATAATTGGGGGCACAGTGCAGCTCTTGGAGGGTGGGCTGAGGATTGAGGAGGAGGAGGGCGTTGGGGGAGGCACTAGTCACTTACTTGTCCTCTATGTGGTCGGGGATGGAGGCGGCGGCCAGGGCGGCCCGGTACTGCAGCAGCACGCTGCGCACGCTCTTCACAAAGCCCTTGGAGAGCGGAAAGAGGGGGAAGCCAATGTCCGGGTATCCGCTCCGCTCGGGCAGGAAGCTCCGGTAGCTCTTCCTGCGCTTCTTTGGTCGCACCGCCGGCTGGCTGCCGCCAGCAGAGTCCGAGGAGGCCCCCCTAACCGACCCGGAGACCACCACACTCGCCCCGGCCACCTCACTGGCCGAGACGGCGCCGTCGCAGTCCAAGTTCTGGCTGAGCTCCTGCTGGGAGGCGGCGGTGGTGGAAAGGCTCAGGCCAGAGTCCTCCAGCTCTTCATCCCCGGTGCCATGGGGCTTGTTGGGGGTGCTGTGGGCCAGCAAATCCAAGGGGAGCGTCTCGTCCAGAGGCCCCACTGAGGGAGGCCTGTCCCGGGATGGTCTTGGCGGAGGGCCTCTCTCGGCTAGCTCGTGGAGCTCCAGCCAGGCCTCCAGGCGGTGCACAAGGCGCCAGCCACTGGAGGTGAAGTGCTGCCGGATCTCCTGCTGGAACACCTGTTTGGAAACAGACAAAATAATGATTATGGCTCAATCTCACCATGATCTGAATCAAAACCTATAATAATAATAGTTTATTCAACTTCTATAGCGCTTCAAGACCAAAAACAAACAAACAAGATATCATGACAGGTCAACCAGTAGAGGCCAAGTCTTTCCTCCGAAGATGGAGGGTCAGTTGATGGCTTGAGCGGAGGGAGCTGGTCAGAGGATGGTAGATGGTGATGGAGAGGGCAAGTCTGGAAACCAGCCTGAGTCTTATAGCCACTGGACTTCTCCTCTTCCACTCTGTGTAGCACCCACTTGGATGATGCCTCAGCAGATCTGGGCGTCAGAAAGTTCATCACACAAAGTTCAGAATAGTAGCCAGTAGTCCTCACTACGAGCCCTCTTCCTCAGCACTGCTGTATTCCTCCATCTCCCATTCCTCTTGAATTTGAGGTGACTCCTCAAATTATGTTCAAAAGAACTGGCAGCCAGGTGAACCAAAAAAGCTGGTAGCCTACTGTATCCAGATGCATTTTTCAAACAAAAACATTAGAGTTCACCTATCAGTCAATCTGCAAATTTGTGGCTCAAAAACATAAGGCATATGCAATAACAACTAATTGTTAACAAAAACGTTAATTATTTTTGTGTTTTTATTTTTACAAATACATTTACATTTTAATCATTTAGCAGACGCTCTTATCCAGAGCGACTTACAGGAGCAATTAGGGTTAAGTGCCTTGCTCAAGGGCACATCGACAGATTTTTCACCTAGTTGGCTCGGGGATTAGAACCAGCGACCTTTCGGTTACTGGCACAACGCTCTTAACCACTAAGCTACCTGCCGCCCCATAAGTACAATATTTACAGACCACTCTACCACGGCGCCATGGCAACCATCCAACTAGAACCATCCATCACCACCTGCCATTTGTCACCAACTCATCCATTAATAAGATAACGGACAAACGTTTTCTTAAATCTTCAGAAAATTGAAATGTGTCTTTGGCACTGACTTACAGGTCAAATTTATACATTAACTATCAGTATACAATAACTCTCCTTCAGTTTTTTGGAGGGATTTTTACTGTGTGTGTATTCACACAAATATAATCAAATCATATAAAATCTACACAAAACAGATTGACTCTAGATAAAACAAAATCTGATCAAATTGTATCCCGACCTCTATGGGTGTCTGCAGCAGCTGGGTCATGGACTGCACCATCTTGATGAGGGCCATCTCGTTGTAGCAGCGGCTGTTCTCATAGCCCTCCTGTAGGCCCCGGTCGCTGTCGAAACCTGCCTCGTTGTAGTAGGGCTCGTTGACCAGGATCAGGCCTGGGGGAGACAACACAGCACACTCTTTAGATTCTTCAAGACCCACAATGAAGCATTAAAGGCCCAGTGCAGTCAAAAACGTGATTGTCCTGCATTTTATGTACACAGAGTATACGAAACATTAAGCACACCTGCTCTTTCCATGACAGACTGACCAGGTGAAAGCTATGATCCCTTATTGATGTCACTTGTTAAATCCACTTCAATCAGTGTAGATGAAGGGGAGGAGAGAGGTTAAAGAAGAACTTTAAGCCCTGAGACAATTGAGACATGGATTGTGTATGTGTGCCATTCAGAGGGTGAATGGGCAAGACAAAATATTTAAGTGCCTTTGAACAGGGTATGGTAGTAGGTGCCATGCGTATAGGTTTGTGTCAAGAACTGCGACGTTGCTGGGTTTTTCACGCTCAACAGTTTCCCATGTGTATCAAGAATGGTCCACCACCCAAAGGACATCCAGCAAACTTGACACGATTATGGGAAGCATTGGAGTCAACATGGGCAAGCATCCTTGTGGAATGCTTTCGACACCTTGTAGAGTCCATGCCCCAACGAATTGAGGCTGTTCTGAGGGCAAATATGGGGGTGCAACGCAATATGAGGAAGGTGTTCCTAATGGTTGGTATACTCAGTGTGTATTTCCACACTATGAGGTTGGAATAATGCTGTGAAAATTATGATAATGGCCTTTTAGTGTAAGAGCTGTTAAAAAGACCACCTGACATTTCAGCCTGTTTTGGTGGGATAGAGTTATGTCCTGCCTGGTGACATCACCAGGCAGTAAATTAGTTTATAGACAGACCAATAAGAGAGTTCCAAACCTCTCTGCCAATAACAGCTAGTTTTCCCCTCCCCACTCAGACCACTTCCCAGACAGTCCTAGCAAAATTATTGCTTGAGAAACTGCTCTTTGCTAAGAAGCTATTTTTGTTTCTTTTTGACCATTTTAAATTTAAAAACAATCACAGTAAGGTATTTAATGTTACCCAGGAATGATTTGATATTGAGATAAAAACGGCTGCATTGGATCTTTAAGTTACAAAGGACCCAAATACCTCAGAAATCAAAGACATTCACACATTAACCCTTTATTCTAGTGTATGTAAAGGTTCAAATACCACAAACCCCTTTATAACAGTTAAAATGTATTCAGCCTTTTGTGGAATAACCTGTACAAGCCTATTAGCCTAGTTTGTGATAGCAACAAATCCTATAATTGTCTCCAAAATCCTGAGCTGAATATTGCTGATAGGAAGGTGAGGCAGTTTAACCACAACTGTCTTGTCAGAGCGTGATGGTGTGTGGCACTCACTGCGGCCGGAGCAGACATGAGCAAATGAACAGCATGAATAAAACATACATTTCTGCTGCAGGGAGGACAACGGGAGGGGGATGTGTGGTCCCTAAAGGACCAGAACCTGACTGGAAATGAGGATTCAGGATGAGAGGGGGGGGTGAAGGATCAAATCAAACCAAGATTGTGTGTGTAAGACTAGGTCTAATGAGGTCAGTTTAGGCTCACCTTGGATGGAGATGAGCACTTGCAGCAGGCTAGACTTGCTGGTCCACCTCTCTGTACCCTGAGGATTGATAAACAGGGAAGACTGTGAGGCACATTTTATACAAACAGATAATGTTCAAAACAATATATAAAAAAAGGGAAAGGGACAGTAATGGGTGTTCTGAGAACAGTCAAGTCAAAGGGAAGGTAATGGGTGGTCTAAGTATCACACTTTTTTGGGGGGTGGATAAAGGTCTACTTTTACCTTGCCGATCCAGGTGCCCAGCAGGCTGACGCAGACCTTGCCGTTGTCGTAGAGGTTGGGGTTGAGGCGCCCGCTGCACTGGGACAGGTAGCGGAAGAGGGGCGGCACCGACGGGTAAATGTTTGGCAGCTGGATGTCGAACAGGAACAGGCCGTCCTCGTAAGGGGTGCGCGTGGGCCCTTTGATCAGGGCCGAGAATAGGTCCTACGAAGAGAGAGGGAGAGAGGAATGGGGAACCACTTACATGTCAACGAGAGTAGCTCATTTTCACTATCATCAGAATTATCATCACTTATCTTCAAATAACCACGCACTGCTCTCAAACTTAGATGAAGAGTTTTTAAATCAAGTGTTTAATGAGAGCAGAGAAACTGGCAGCTCAAAACCGGAGTCACTTTAGCCACTGAAGAGTGGTCTGATGCAATGTAATACTTGACTGTAATCGACTACATTCGAATCACTTCCAAACGGGTCTCTTGTCAAGTGTGTGTGAGCGTACCATGCGGTCCTCGAAGGTTTTGACCATGATGCCGTCGGGCAGCGAGGTGGCCAGCAGAGCCATCTCCTTCCTCACAGTGCTGAAAAACTTCTTGGCCTCGGCCGGCTGGAACTCCATCTTCTTAAAGGTGTGGGTGTCTGGCAGGGGTCAGAGACATTTTTAGGTATTCCAACAAGGCATTTAGTATTTGAAAAGGCCATTTTAAGTAATGGACCAGTGCATTAAAAGTTATAACAGGCCATTTTTGGGGTCATGATGTGTATTCTTCTGCCAGTATTACTAGTTTAGTGGATGTCTCCGTAACAATGCATCCAACAATGACAAGCTAAAAGCGCAGTATTGCGTCCTCACCTGGTGACCACTCCAGCACAGAGAACACCTCTCCCTTGGCACTGGTGAAGGTTACGCCGGGCTTGCCACCACTCTGTTGGCACAGAACAGGCGTATCGCTGGGCCACTCTGGCGCCGCGCCTGGCGTCTTCGCCGTCTCCTCCTGGGGCCTTTCTTCGCCCCCTCTTTCCCCTCCTTCTGTACTCCCACCTCCTCCTGCCCCGCCTCCTACGGCCTCCACCACCGCCTCCATCCGCTCCTCCTCCACGATGGCCACATTGTCCAGGGTCTTCCTCAGGTTCTCCTGGAGCTTCTTGATGTCATCCAGGAAGCGTTTCTCCTTGGTGGGCTTCTCGGGCGTGATGGCAGTTGCGGCGTTGGCGTTAGTCCCGTTGGTGGACGGCACGGCACCGGACGTGGGCGAGGTAGGCGAGCCGCCGGTCCATAGCTGCTCCACCGTCATGTTCTTCAGGCTCTCCAGGATTTTCAGGGCCTCCTTGAGCTCGCGGAAGCCCCGCGGCGTGCCCTCTTTCCCGGGGAGCTTCTCTGCGGCGTCACCCCCTCCTGCTCCAGGGGTGGTTCCTCCAGCACTGGCGCCTGGGCTGGCTATAGCCCCAGCTCCATCCAGGTCCTCTGTGGAGTTAGGGGGCTTGGTGGGGGTGGTGGCCCCTGCTTTGCCGCCCTCCTCGAGGGGGATGATGAAGGGGCTGGAGCCGGTGGGGGTGGGGGCCGGGGTGGCGATGTCGTTGTTGCCGGGGTGCTGGTCGTCCTCGTTGGTGGTCAGGCCATTGTCCGTCTCCCAGCTGTCGCTCTCGTCCTCCCACTCTTCCGTGGACAGGCCACTGCTGCTCTCCTCCAAAGAGTCATAGTCCGTCTCCTCGATCTCAGACTCCACGTTGTACAGGTGCTAGATGGAGGGGGGTTAGAGAAACTAAATCACTGCGTTTATACGCACTCATTAATCATTAATAATTGCTAACATTCATTAAGTGCTTTTTGTGTCAATATCAAATGTCGTTATAGAATAATACATATTTTTCAAAGGGCAGCATGCAAGTTAAACATGTTATCCGGAACACAAATTCAGATTGAAAACATAATTAACATGAACACATAATTAACATGAACAGAAACCTGAGCAAGAAGGTACAGTAGTAGCACACTTCATTGACAAACATAACAGAAACCAACAGAGCCACCAATTAGTGACCACTACAACCTCGCATGCGGACAGCAAACTACAACTACCGCACGTGAGGGACAGAAAGACTACAATTACCATGAGTACCTGTGGCAGGACGACGGTCATGGAGTTGTCGGCCCACACCACCTCCACCTTGCTGCTCACGTCCACTCTGAAGACCTGACCTACTGACGTCTGGGCAGGTAAAAAACAAGATAAAAGACTGGTATGTGAAAATACTCTTTCTACACTAAAGTACTATACTGGCTGATATTTCCTTTCAGAGCATGCTTTTAGCAACTATGGTGGATCTGTAACCAGTCCAAAGCACCTGCACAACGTGGACAGGCAAAGAACACCAAGCACCACGGGGAAAACTACTAACACGTCAACTGACAAAATTAGAGACTTTTTCGAACTTACATCGTTCTCGCAATCTGTATTGCGTCCGTTCTCAGAGTTCCCTATCCTGATGACGATATCAGTGGTACGGAAGTGGAAGTCTGGGTGGTCGGCGATGTCGTACACACTAACATCCTCCTCTTCTCCTATAACCTAAACAAACAAAACCACCACCCCATTAGACTCATATCATGCAGCTCAAATGACACTATAAGCCACCCTATATAGTGCACTATTTTTGACCAAAGCCATAGGACCATGGGGCTATTGCCTTGGCCCAAAGTAGTGCACCACATGTGGAATAGTGTAATTTGGAATAGACTCATTTGGAATAGAGTCATTTCAGATTTGCCCAAAATCAACTTCTATAGAGCTATTAATGGAATATAAAAAAGGTTGTTCCCCGGGCGACCCCAGCCGATCTACAATGGCCAGCAGACTGACCTCCACGTCGTCGCTGGAGGCGTTGAGTTTGATCCACTTCACGGCACACGTCCTGCCCTTGTGGTCGCCCGACTGGATGACCCCATACATGCCCGGGTCCGTAGGGGCTTGGGCTGTGGGACCACACACACACAGAGAGACAGACACACACACACAGAGAGACAGACACACACACACACACACACACACACAGAGACAGACACACACACACACAGAGCTGAAGTTCCTCTCTGACCTGAGGTACAAAATGTATCACCAAGGACACCAAGTACGAAAGTCAACCTGATAAATAGCTCCCTCGTTGTTCATTTCCTCCACAGATACAGAACCAAAATAAACTCTATATTTAAACCATGTTAAATATGGACGATGGAGTAAACATTGTGGTACAGTCAAACAATGGCCTAAATATGAGCCCAATCTAATGCCTGATCTACATTACAGACCTGAACGTTCTGTGCTGGCTCTGATATTTTATTTTCTAGTCCAGCAATTATAGTCAGTGTTTCTCCTCTATTCATTTTTGGGATAGTAATTTATTTTCCTGTGTAAACCTAAACAACTAAAACCACATACAAAGCATGTAGAAAAGATAATGTCACTATATACCGTATACATACACATAAAGTACCAGTCAAAAGTTTGGACACGCCTACTCATTCAAGGGTTTGTCTTTATTTTTTACATTGTAGAATAATAGTGAAGACATCAAAACTATGAAATAACACATATGGAATCATGCAGTAAGCAAAAAAGTGTTAAACAAACCAAAACATATTTTATATTTGAGATTCTTCAAATCGCCACCCTTTGCCTTGATGACAGCTGGTTTGGGCCTAGTGGGACTATCATTTGTTTTTCAACAGGTAAATGACCCAACACACCTCCAGGCTGTGTAAGGGCTATTTTACCAAGAAGGAGAGTGATTGAGTGCTGCACCAGATGACCCGGCCTCCACAATCCCCCGACCTCAACCCAATTGAGATGGTTTGGGATGAGTCAGACAGCAGAGTGAAGGAAAAGCAGCTAACAAGTGCTCAGCATATGTGGGAACTTCTTCAAGACTGTTGGAAAAGCATTCCGGGTGAAGCTGGTTGAGAGAATGCCAAGAGTGTGCAAATCTGTCATCAAGGCAAAGGGTTGCAATTTGAAGAATCTCAAATAAATATATTAAGATTTGTTTAACACTTTTTTGGCTACTACATGATTCTGTATGTGTTATTTCATAGTTTTGATGTCTTCACTATTATTCTACAATGTAAAAAATAGTAAAAATAAAGAAAAACCCTTGAATGAGTAGGTGTCCATACTTTTGACTGGTAGTGTATGTACAGTGCATTCGGAAAGTATTCAGACCCCTTGACTTTCTCCATATTTTGTTACGTTACAGCCTTATTCTAAAATGGATTACATTGTTTTTTCCCCCCCCTCATCAATCTACACACATACCCCATCATGGCAAAGCAAAAACAGGTTTAGACATTTTTGCAAATGTATGAAAAATAAAAAACAGAAATATCACATTTACATAAGTATACAGCTCCTACAGCAACAAATTACAGCCTCAAGTCTTCTTGGGTATGACGCTACAAGCTCGGCACACCTGTATTTGGGGAGTTTCTCCCACTCTTCTCTGCAGATCCTCTCAAGCTCTGTCAGGTTGGATGGGGAGCATCGCTGCACAGCTATTTTCAGGTCTCTCCAGAGACAGTAGATCGGGTTCAATCCGGGCTCTGGCTGGGCCACTCAAGGACATTCAGAGACTTGTCCCAAAGCCACTCCTGCGTTGTCTAGGCTGTGTGCTTAGGGTTGATGTCCTGTTGGAAGGTGAACCGTCGACCAATCTGAGGTCCTGAGTGCTCTGGAGAAGGTTTTCATCAAGGATCTCTCTGTACTTTGCTCCTTTCATCTTTCCCTCGATCCTGACTAGTCTCCCAGTCCCTGCCACTGAAAAATAACCCCACAGCATGATGCTGCCACCACCATGCTTCACTATAGGGATGGTGACAGGTTTCCTCCAGACGTGGCGCTTGGCATTCAGGCCAAAGAGTTCAATCTTGGTTTCATCAGACCAAACAATCTTGTTTCTCATGGTCTGAGAGTCCTTTAGGTGCCTTTTGGCAAACTCCAAGCGGGCTGTCATGTGTCATTTACTGGAGGAGTGGCTTCCGTCTGGCCACTACCATAATGGCCTGATTCTTGGTGTGATGCAGAGATGGTTGTCCTTCTGGAAGGTTCTCCCATCTCCACAGAGGAACTAAAGAGCTCTGTCAAAGTGACCACCTCCCTGACCAAGGCCCTTCTCCCCAGATTGCTCAGTTTGGCCGGGCGGCCAGCTCTAGGAAGAGTCTTGGTGGTTCCACACTTCTTCCATTTAAGAATGATGGAGGCCACCGTGTTCTTGGGGACCTTCAATGCTACAGAAATTTTTTGGTAGCCTTCTCCAGATCTGTGCCGCGACACAATCCTGTCTCGGAGCTCTACGGACAATTCCTTCGAACTCATGGCTTGGTTTTTGCTCTATCATGCAATGTAAACTGTGGGACCTTATATAGACAGGTGTGTGCCTTTCCAAATCATGTCCAATCAATTGAATTTACCGCAGGTTGACTCCAATCAAGTTGTAGAAACATCAAGGATGATCAATGGAAACAGGATGCACCTGAGCTCAATTTTGAGTATCATAGCAAAGGGTCTGAATACTTATGTAAATAACGTATTTTTATATATATATATATATTTTTTTTTTTTTTTTTACCTTTATTTAACTAGGCAAGTCAGTTAAGAACAAATTCTTATTTACAACGACGGCCTACACCGGCCAAACCCGGACGACGCTGGGCCAATTGTGCGCCGCCCTATGGGACTCCCAATCACGGCCAGTTGTGATACAGCCTGGAATCGAACCAGGGGGTCTGTAGTGACGCCTCAAGCACTGAGATGCAGGGCTTTAGCCCACTGCGCCACTCGGGAACCAAGTATCTTTTTTTTAAAAGTTTTTTTTTATACATTTGCAAACATTTCTAAACCTGTTTTCGCTTTGTCATTATGTGGTATTGTGTGTAGATTGATGAGGGGAAAAATGTACATACATACATACAAACACACAGTACACAGTCGTGGTCAAAAGTTTTGAGAATGACACAAATACTAATTTTCACAAAGTCTGCTGCCTCAGTTTTAATGATGGCAATTTGCATATACTCCAGAATGTCATGAAGAGTGCAATTAATTGCAATTCATCTGATCAAAGTCCCTCTTTGCCATGAAAATGATCTTAATCCCCCCCCCAAAAAAAATCCACTGCATTTCAGCCCTGCCACAAAAGGACCAGCTGACATCATGTCAGTGATTCTCTCGTTAACACAGGTGAGTGTTGACGAGGACAAGGCTGGAGATCACTCTGTCATGCTGATTGAGTTAGAATAACACACTGGAAGCTTTAAAAGGAGGGTGGTGCTTGAAATCATTGTTCTTTCTCTGTTAACCATGGTTACCTGCAAGGAAACACATGCCGTCATCATTGCTTTGCACAAAAAGGGCTTCACAGGCAAGGATATTGCTGCTAGTAAGATTGCACCTAAATCAACCATTTATCAAATCATCAAGAACTTCAAGGAGAGAGGTTCAATTGTTGTGAAGAAGGCGTCAGGGCGCCCAAGAAAGTCCAGCAAGGGACAGGACCGTCTCCTAAAGTTGATTCAGCTGCGGGATCGGGGCACCACCAGTGCAGAGCTTGCTCAGGAATGGCAGCAGGCAGGTGTGAGTGCATCTGCACGCACAGTGAGGCAAATACTTTTGGAGGATGGCCTGGTGTCAAGAAGGGCAGCAAAGATGCCACTTCTCTCCAGGAAAAACATCAGGGACAGACTGATGTTCTGCCAAAGGTACAGGGGATTGGACTGCTGAGGACTGGGTAAAGTCATTTTCTCGATGAATCCCCTTTCCGATTGTTGTTGGGGCCATCCGGAAATCACCTTGTCCGGAGAAGACAAGATGAGCGCTACCATCATCCTGTGTCCATGCCAAAGTAAAGCATTCCTGAGACCATTCCATTGTGGGGTTGCTTATCAGCAAAGGGAGTTGGGCTCACCACAATTTTGCCTAAGAACAAAGCCATGAGAACTTTGTCAACTTCTCTCTTCCCCAACCCATCCAAGAAACAGTTTGGGTGACAGCCCAATGCCTTTTCCCAGCATGATGGAGCACCTTGCCATAAGGGCAAAGCCTTAAGAGACGCCATGGAAACATACCTAACAGGGATGAAAAGAAAGGCGGAGAGAGACGGAGATAATGAGACAAACGTAAGTCTCCCGAAAGCTAAGACGAGGAAATATGACGAAGCGTATGTCGCGTTTGGCTTCACTGTGACTACGGTGGGAGAAGAGGAAAGACCGGTATGTTTACTGTGTCTAAAAATGTTGGCAGCGGACAGCATGAAGCCAAATAAATTAAGGCGTCACTTAAATACATTACACCCCAATCACGCTGATAAGCCGCTTGAGTTTTTTTTAGCGAAAACGTGCCGAATATTGCCAACAATTGTCCCGCTTTGTGAATGCTACTTCAGGAAACCAGCGAGCACTGTTAGCATCATATAAGGTGGCGTACCAAATTGCTCAGTGCAAAAAAAAAACACTCCATAGCAGAGGAGCTGATACTGCCTGCAGCATTAGACATGGTCTCTGTCATGCTGGATGACGCAAGTGCTGCAAAAATAAAAACTATCCCTCTGTCCAATGACACTGTCGCCAGACGTATAAATGACATTGCTAACGATCTTAAAGAACAGCTGGTAGATAAACTCAAAGACAAACGTGCCTTTTGCCATTAATCCTGACTTCCTCATTTTGCTAAAAAAAAAATCAGCACAAATGGTTTTATTCATTTTTGTTTTATAGGTCAGTGTTTCATATATTGGGCTCCTGAGTTCATGTTGCTGATCAATTTGAATTTATTATTATTTATTGATTATATTTTATTTTATTTTTCAGTATCAAATGGTCAACATTTTTTTACAGTTTAAATAAGGCAAATTTCAGGCAAATTGATGCACTTTAAGTATTTTCTGTTACAGACTAAAAAACAATGTTAATAAAGTTATTCTTTGTTGTAAGTTGATCTATATTCTTTATTTTATTTTTATTTTCTTTAATGTTAATAAGGATACAATGTTATGCAGAGGTGTACTTAGAACAATTTCATAGACAAATGATACTATTTCCAGTTTGCGGCGGGAGAGTTGGGGGGCGCGAAATGTTACTTCTTCCTAGGGGGGCGCAACAGAAAATAATTGAGAAGCACTGCCATAAGGCAAAAGTGATAACTAAGTGGCTCGGGGAACAAAACAAACATTTTGGATCCATGGCCAGGAAACTCCCCAGACCTTAATACCATTGAGAACTTGTGGTCGATCCTCAAGAGGCGGATGGACAAACAAAAACCCACATATTCTGACAAACTCCAAGCATTGATTATGCAAGAATGGGTTGCCATTATTCAGGATGTGGCCCAGAAGTTTATTGACAGCATGCCAGGGCGGATTGCAGAGGTCTTGAAAAAGAAGGGTCAACACTGCAAATATTGACTCTTTGCATAAACTTAATGTAATTGTCAATAAAAGCCTTTTACACTTATGGAATTCTTGTAATTATACTTCAGTATACCATAGTAACATCTGACAAAAATATATCATAACACTGAATCAGCTAACTTTGTGAAGACCAATACTTGTGTCATTCTCAAAACCTTTGACCACGACTGTACATATACAGTGAGGGGGAAAAGTATTTGATCCCCTGCTGATTTTGTACGTTTTCCCACTGACAAAGAAATGATCAGTCTGTAATTTTAATGGTAGGTTTATTTGAACAGTGAGAGACAGAATAACAACAAAAAAATCCAGAAAAACACATGTCAAAAATGTTATAAGTTGATTTGCATTTTAAATGAGGGAAATATGTATTTGTCCCCCTCTCAATCAGAAAGATTTCTGGCTCCCAGGTGTCTTTTATACAGGTAACAAGATGAGATTAGGAGCACACTCTTAAAGGGAGTGCTCCTAATCTCAGCTTGTTACCTGTATAAAAAGACACCTGTCCACAGAAGCAATCAATCAATCAGATTCCAAACTCTCCACCATGGCCAAGACCAAAGAGCTCTCCAAGGATGTCAGGGACAAGATTGTAGACCTACACAAGGCTGGAATGGGCTACAAGACCATCACCAAGCAGCTTGGTGAGAAGGTGACAACAGTTGGTGCGATTATTCGCAAATGGAAGAAACACAAAAGAACTGTCAATCTCCCTCGGCCTGGGGCTCCATGCAAGATCTCACCTCGTGGAGTTGCAATGATCATGAGAACGGTGAGGAATCAGCCCAGAACTACACGGGAGGATCTTGTCAATGATTTCAAGGCAGCTGGGACCATAGTCATCAAGAAAACAATTGGTAACACACTACGCCGTGAAGGACTGAAATACTGCAGCGCCCGCAAGAAAGCACATATACAGGCCCGTCTGAAGTTTGCCAATGAACATCTGAATGATTCAGAGGAGAACTGGGTGAAAGTGTTGTGGTCAGATGAGACCAGAATTGAGCTCTTTGGCATAAACTCAACTCACCATGTTTGGAGGAGGAGGAATGCTGCCTATGACCCCAAGAACACCATCCCCACCGTCAAACATGGAGGTGGAAACATTCTGCTTTTGGGGGGGGGGTTCTGCTAAGGGGACAGGACAACTTCACCGCATCAAAGGGACAATGGACGGGGCCATGTACCGTCAAATCTTGGGTGAGAACCTCCTTCCCTCAGCCAGGGCATTGAAAATGGGTCGTGGATGGGTATTCCAGCATGACAATGACCCAAAACACACGGCCAAGGCAACAAAGGAGTGGCTCAAGAAGAAGCACATTAAGGTCCTGGAGTGGCCTAGCCAGTCTCCGGGCCTTAATCCCATAGAAAATCTGTGGAGGGAGCTGAAGGTTTGAGTTGCCAAACGTCAGCCTCGAAACCTTAATGACTTGGAGAAGATCTGCAAAGAGGAGTGGGACAAAATCCCTCCTGAGATGTGTGCAAACCTGGTGGCCAACTACAAGAAACGTCTGACCTCTGTGATTGCCAACAAGGGTTTTGCCACCAAGTACTAAGTCATGTTTTGCAGAGGGGTCAAATACTTATTTCCCTCATTAAAATGCAAATCAATTTATAACATTTTTGACATGCGTTTTTCTGGATTTTTTTGTTGTTATTCTGTCTCTCACTGTTCAAATAAACCTACCATTAAAATTATAGACTGATCATTTCTTTGTCAGTGGGCAAACGTACAAAATCAGCAGGGGATCAAATACTTTTTTCCCCCCCTCACTGTACAGACATATATATAAGGCCTGAATACGAGGGGGAAGTGTGCTAGCTACTTACGTCGTTTGTCGACAACAAAGTCACCGGGGCAGAACTCGTGGTTGTCCAGGTGCTGGATGGGGATGAGGTCGTTGGAGCGGATGAGGGTCTCCATACGACCGTCCTTCCAGAGGACGTCGGCCGAGGTCTTGGTGGACACCACCTCTACCGCCACCCTGACGGTAAAAAACAGGGAGATGGCAGATATTAGAACTAGTGACTTACTAACTAATACTGGAAGTTGTGTCTTCACTGACAGAGCCTCACTATTACAGTAAGTTGTTTTGGTTAAGAGTGGAAAATACCTACAAGTTACAGAATGGAATGTTAAACTGACAGCCATATGCGCAGCAGCAGTGTGAACCAAAGATCTCGCAGGGTGAGCGGTGCCGAGCCTGATCTCCTCTGCCTTGCATCCTGTCACTGTCTCCCTCCATCCATAATATCCGTCTTTTTTTGTATTTTTTTTATCAAATCTCTCCTCTACCTCATTTCAATCCCCCACTAGAACTCAGTCACTTTCCCCTCGCTCTGCCTGTCACTACCTCTCCCTTGCCGTCTTATTCCCCCCCCCCCCCATCAGTCTTCCTCTCGCTCTCTCCCCCTGCAACTCAATCCATCTCTGCTTCTTTCCCCTCTTGATCTCCCTTGCTCTTTTCCCCTCTCCATCACTCTTTCCCCCTCTCTCTCGCTCCATCTGTCTCCTTCAATTAGAGGACCTGGATGTTATCTGGGCACACCTAAGCACATGATACATGATTTATCAGCTGCCAGCTATATTTAACCACCAGATCTGCAGCCTTGGGCTGCGTCTGAAATGGCATCCTATTTTCTAAGTAATACACTACTTTTAACCAGGGCTCTGTTCAAAAGTAGTGCACTATATAGGAAATAGGGTGCCATTTCGCATGTGCAGCCTTGGAAAACCTGCCGCTTCTGAATGGCACCTGGTAGAAATTAAAGTTCTTGAATTCTACAATGTCTTGAGAAAAGGTTACATCGACCCAAACGTCAACCTATTTGGAAACGTCAAACTAATGGTGCAGAGCTACGGCTAATTGTGGGTACCGGCGTGATTTTAAAGGACCACAAGGAGAGCGAGTGCGGTAGCGAGCTTATTCATTTTCACATCACACCAATAATACTAGATTTATGCTAGTATAACCTGTGGATTGTTACTAGTACTAATATTGAATTGGTACTAGATTCAGATTGGTTCTAGGACAAGTACTAGATTGGTACTACTAGGCCTAGTACTATATTGGCCATAGAGTGGTACTAGTACTGGATTGGTGCTAGACTGGTTCAAGATTTTAAGACAAGGCCAGGTCACACCGTCACTGGCAGCATCCACACAGCCTACTAACACCCAGGGTCATTAGTGTACATCTGCTCCGAGAAATCAGCCTGAAATCGATCCCGTAGTTAGTAACAAGCCATCAGAAGGTTCGTAAGGAGGAGAGGACACTTTCTGGGAGACAAGATGTTAGATCGATGAACACTGGTCTGTTTGGCTGGGGAGTGGGTGTAAGGTGACAGTCTCTATTTTTGACAAAAGTAGTGCACTACATAGGGAATAGGGTGCCATTTCTGAAGCCTCTGCTCTGGCCTAAGACGGAGGATAATGATGTGATTGTGTATCTGTACAAGGCTGGGAGGCATGAGAAGCTGGGAGGCACGATGTGCCCTTGAGCAAGGCACTTCACCCCAATTTTCTCCAGGGGCGCCGTACTACTTTGGCTGACCCTGTAAAACAACACTTTTCACTGCACCTATCCGGTGAATGTGACAATAAAAACAAATAAATAAAAGTGACAGTGGGTTCAAGGATGCAGCATTTTTGCCAGCAGGTAGCTGAATTCTTGCCAACAAGCTATTGATCATCCTTTACACATACCAAAGAGAAAGGAGATGGCCAGGGAAAGGCCATCTCCAGAGAGAAAAATTGAGGGAGGGCGCAAGAGAGGGAGGAATAGCGGCTGTTCCAAAAGAAAGGGAGGGCGTGAGGGAGAGAAGGCAGAAAGTAGAAGAGGGGAGAGGACTAAAGTGAGACCTAGGCTCTGACCTAGCCTGCTACATTTGTAGCCATTTATATACATTTGTATCTGCTACATTTGTAGTCACATAGCATACTATGAACACAAATTGATTTGATTGACAACTGGCTCACCTGTCGCCGGGCTTGAACTCGCGGGAGAACTTGGTCCTCTTCTTCTTGTGCTTCCTCTTCAGGTTGCGGATGGACAGCGGGATGCTCTTCTTCCTGTTCAGGCCCCCGAGACCGCTGCTCTGCGACGACGCCGTGCTGCTCGCTGACGACGTCAGCGACAAGGTGTCGTCCGTGTCCTCCGCCCCCGCCTCGTCGTCTGCGTCCTGCTCTGCGGGCTCGGGCCATGGGTCAGAGGAGGGGGGAGGGCACAGGGGCGAGGGCTGGAGGGCGTGGTTGGGGTGGTGAGGGCGGGGGAGGGTGGTGGAGTCTGAATGGGTGTTGTCAGGCTTGAGGTCACCTGGGTGCGGGGAGGGGGGAGAGGACACGGGTGATGGTCGTTGAGTTGGTTTTACATGTATAATTCACTAAATGGTACTGTATATGCAGTGACTTGGGACTGAGCAAAGCATGAAGAACAGATTTTAATTGTGGGGCGAACTACCCTGCACAAGGTGTGCAGTTATCAGATGGGCACTTATCAGTAGACTGTATTGAGCTAGAAATTATTATTGAGTTTGAGCTCGTCAGCTGTTTAAGTTAGGATATCTACCAAAAAATGACAAGGCAACATTTCTGATGACCAACATAGATAAATAAAAGCAGCATGTACCGTCAAGGCTGTCCGTCTTGTCGGTGGAGTGCTGGTTTGCACCTTGTGTCTCTGCATTATCACTGGTCTTCTTCCCTAACAACTCCTTCTTGAACATTCTTTTCAACTGCAGGAAGGACATTGTCATAAGACACTGATATAATATGAAAAAGAAAAAATTGGATACATGGAGTATCTGTGCAAACAGAGGCAATATTGTAACCAATTGTTTCTCACACACATACAAACGGGGACAGGCACGCACAATTTTTTAAAAATATATCTCTCACACACCTTCCTGGCTACGGGGTCCTCTGGGAGTCCGGGGGCCCCGTCGGGCCACTCACAGGTGATGTGTGTGGTGTCTCCCTTGGCTGGGAACACGTACAGGGCCCTCTCCCCCAGCTGCCTCTGGGTGTGGTCGTAGTAGCCCAGACGCTTCACTCTGGATCCAAACACACACATTTAGGAGGAGTGTGTCAGTAGAAGTAAAATAATGGGTGTGTGTTAGAGATGAGCATCCCTCCATCGAGTTACATGGGCTCTGATAGATGCACTAACATTTGTTGCATGAACACATTCATTTTCCATTCTAAATTAAAATCTGATACTGAGCTGGGCCTCTGAGCGGGGTTCAATATGCTTTTTATCTGAAATCCCCATCACCCACTGATCATTTTCGCAGATATATGTTTTAGCTAGCAATATGTCAATATTTATCTATAGAAATGACCAATGAGATTAACCCATAAGAGACTAAGCCCTGTCTAAGCCAGGGGGGGCGGGGGTACTACTAAGCTATATGAAATTGTTTTAGGAAGGTCATACCAAGGATCATTTGCGATTTGATTTGGAATTTTAAGACCCCTTAAAATAAAATAAATAAAATGTTGGCCGTACTTCTATTAGCCCATACAAACGCATTGAATAACAGATTCAAGACATGGAACAACAGATCGTCCCCCAAAAAAGTTTGTTCAGAAGTGTCTGCCCTATATCGGAGATATATGAAAAATGAGGAAACATGTATTTAGCCCCTTCTTTTTTAGCACTAAATAGTCTAAGCCCTGTCTAAGCCGAAAAAATTACAATTTGTTTTTGGCCTTACTGCTATTAGCCCATACAAACAAATTTCTGGCACTAACAGTCTCCATATATACTTCCATTAATTATTTCAACTGGTACCGGGGGACCTTTAGATGAGTCTTCTGAGGCCTGTGGACGTCCTTGAGCAAAACAGACATGTACGTGTTCGTGAGAGTCTCACCTTTCCACAGAGGACTCATATTAGTGTTGTTGCCCAAACTGTTGGGACGCTACAGACAGAAGTTGGCAGATCGGCTGAACCGACTTCAGATGAGTCCCAAGTTGCTTGTGGGGGTCGTAGAGCAAACCGTTCGGACGCTACAGACGATTTTGTGAGAAGACCGATTTTCGGATGACTCAGGGTTTGACAAACACCACTCTAGCTCTGTCACCGCAGATGCGGAAGTGCGACATAGGCGGATGCAGTGGATTGAGACGCATCCAATGCAGATATCTCTAGCTTAAACGGATAGATTTTTATGGAGAATTTTTTATTATGCTAATTAGATTTTTGCGGGGGCGTGGACATCGTCCTTAGGGGGTTAATATAGCACAGCTTAGGATTTCACCCGTCTCAAAAGCTAATGGTTCTGACCGTTTGGAACTTTACGGAGGAGAGCTGCTCTTTCTCCAGCTCCGACTATAGGCTTACAGTGCAGCTCGCAAAAATGATTGCGGTCCTTGTTATGAAATTAGAACTTCACCCTGTTCATGTAAGTACCCAATTAAGACATGCACGCAAGTGTGAGTAGGAGAGATGTGATTGTGAGGTGTGTATATAATGTATGTGGACCAGATCACTAGAAATACTGTTCATACACTGTATATCTATGATGGAAAACTGTAGCCTCTATGCTGCAGTGTGGATGGATGGATGAATGAATGAATGCAGGGCTCTACAGCGCGACCATTTTACTCGCATATGCGGCTAAATTTTTTGCTGTGCGACCTGGAATTTTATTTTTGGTGTACAAGTGGCCTAGAAAAATGAAGGATTCTAGCTTTAATATCTCAAATATTTGTCGTTATGCTCCTAAATTCCTTTTTCAATTTAGATGCTCTTGTAAAAAAGGTCAGCGTAGAGCCTTGGAATGAACAGACAGACTGGGAGCAGTACAGTACAGTACCTGCAGAGGTTCTCCTGTGAGATGGTGGACGGAGGGGGGTAGACGCTGTCCGTGCCCTTGGGGGAGTAACTCTTGGTGATCCACGTCACCTTCAGTTCCGCCACCTGGACCTACGGGGTCACATGACACACAGATAACCATTTAGAGCAGTGACATCACACATACTTTAGTAGCTAAGCCTATAATTAGGTGGTAAGGTTATGTGGTCAGTAAAACCCAGGAAAAACTCAGAGGCCAAAGTTATAGCCTTTGGATAATGCACTACTATAAAATATGCAAATTGCCACCAACATACCTCTTCGACCACCACCCTGAATTTGCTCTTCTTGCGGAGTACGGGCTTGACCCCGGAGAGCCACTGGACATTGGAGAAAACTTTGGCCGGCCCGATCAGCACCTGGCCTGGGTAGAAACCATAGGCCTCGTCGAAGAACAGACCCTAACAACCAGAGAGGAGATTCATCTTAATAACACACAGAGGCAGTTTCCTTAACCCAGTCCATGGAGAATCTAAAAAGGTCTGTAAGATATCCTGCTGCTCATTGGTCATTTCAACAAATGACAGGAGAACATAGCTAGTACTTATCAACCTTCAGTGTTAATTTTTATGGTTGTATTGTTTCTGAAATATAACAGCCAAAGTGAACAGGAGTAACACATAGGTATTTCCAGTCAAACACAACAGTTTCCGATTAATATTGGACGCACGCAACCTGCTACCTTAAACAAGATTAGGGTCGATCCATTTAAACTCAATTTTCAAAATCGGTTTCCTAAATTGACCCAGCTCAAATGGAATTGACCCCCAGCCCTGTTACAAAGTATTACACCCACTACCTCTGGCCCATAAGGAGGAATAAGAAGCTCAAGGCTGTGCGCAGTAAGTTAATTTCATATTACTTCCACCTAGCCAGCCTTATCAGATCAGTGAAGCGCAGTGGAAGAGGGCAGACGGCTACGTTTTCACACAAAATGCAGCTCATGGCATTTCACCTACCGAGTCACTGACGTGTGGACAGACGTCGTACAGCTTGGCGCCGTCCTCCACATTCATGGAACACCTGCAGTAGTAGAGAGAGAAGTTGAGCTAACCATGAAGCAGACAGATGTAAATTAAACAGTTTTGAAATTACACTCATACTGGGACAGATTCTGTACCTGGCTCCATTGGACAACTTGAGGATGATGTGGTTGGTCAGGTCGTACACCTTCCCCAGCCAGAAGTCGTAGGCTATGTAGTCTCCATACATGAAAGACTAGCAGGGAACACACATAAAACAAATGATTGTAACAGAGACATTGATGTGATTATATATACACACACACACACACAGTACCAGTCAAGTTTGGACACACCTACTCATTCCAGGGTTTTTCTTTTGTAGAATAATAGTGAAGACATCAAAACTATGAAATAACACATATGGAATCATGTAGTAACCAGAGAAGTGTTAAACAAATCAAAATATATTTTATATTTGAGATTCTTCAAAGTAGCCACCCTTTGCCTTGACAGCTTTGCACACTCTTGGTATTCTCTCAACCAGCTTCATGAGGAATGCTTTTCCAACAGTCTTGAAGGAGTTCCCACATATGCTGAGCACTTGTTGGCTGCTTTTCCTTCACTCTGCGGTCCGACTCATCCCAAACTATCTCAATTGGGTTGAGGTCGGATGATTGTGGAGGTCAGGTCATCTCGATGCAGCACTCCATCACTCTCCTTCTTGATCAAATAGCCCTTACACAGCATGGAGATGTGTTGGGTCATTGTCCTGTTGAAAAACAAAATGATAGTCCCACTAAGCGCAAACCAAATGGGATGGTGTATTGCTGCAGAATGCTGTGGTAGCCATGCTGGTTAAGTGTGCCTTGAACTCTAAATAAATCACTGACAGTGTCATCAGCAAAGCACCCCCACACCACCTCCATGCTTCACGGTGGGAACCACACATACGGAGATCATCCGTTCACATACTCTGCGTCTCACAAAGACACAAAAATCTCAAATTTGGACTTGTCAGACCAAAGGACAGATTTCCACTGGTCGAATGTCCATTGCTTGTGTTTCTTGGCCCAAGCAAGTCTCTTCTTCTTATTGGTGTCCTTTAGTAGTGGTTTCTTTGCAGCAATTCGACCATGAAGGCCTGATTCATGTAGTCTCCTCTAAACAGTTGATGTTGAGATGTGTCTGTTACTTGAACTCTGTGAAGCATTTATTTGGGCTGCAATTTCTGAGGCTGGTAACTCGAATTAACTTATCCTCTGCAGCAGAGGTAACTCTGGGTCTTCCTTTCCTGTGGCTGTCCTCATGAGAGCCAGTTTCGTCATAGCGCTTGATGGATTTTGCGACTGCACTTGAAGAAAGTTTCAAAGTTATTGACATTTTCCGTATTGACTGACCTTCATGTCTTACAGTAATGATGGACGGTCATTTCTCTTTGCTTATTTGAGCTGTTCTTACCATAATATGGACTTGCACTTTTCCCAAATAGGGCTATCTTCTATATACCACCCTACCTTGTCACAACACAACTGATTGGCTCAAACACATTAAGGAAACAAATTCCACAAATTAACAAGGCACACCTGTTAATTGAAATGTGTGCAAAGCTGTCACCAAGGCAAAGGGTGGCTATTTGAAGAATCTCAAATATAAAATATATTTGGATTTGATTAACACTTGGTTACTACATGATTCCATGTGTTATTTCATAGTTTTGATGTCTTCACTATTATTCTACGATGTAGAAAATAGTCAAAACAAAGAAAAACCCTTGAATGAGTAGGTGTGTCCAAACTTTTGACTGGTACTGTATGTATGTATGTATGTATGTATGTATGTATGTATGTATGTATGTATGTATGTATGTATGTATGCATCTCTATCTTTACCAAAGAATAAGGAGTAAATTATGGACGACCTTCAAGGCATAGGCTACTATGGGAGATACTCGAGAAGGACAAGACAATTGAATAGCCTAATTAAATGAGTATATGTAAGCAAATGGTTAATTAAAATATAAATCATAACAAAAATAATAAATTACAAATTAATTTGATAAATCACATGTGGTAATGCTTCCATCTTGTAACTCCTCTGTGGACATAGGGTGGTCAAGTGAATACTATGGTATCTCTGGTTTTTCTTACCCAGATGTGATGTAGGTCTTTACTGTTGACGGGGTACAGGACACAGTTGGTCCCCACTAGCTTTTACAGCACACTCTATGTCGATGTTGGTCACGATGCCACATTGGTTGTCCTGGAAACCACAACCAAGACAAGGGTTACCATATCACCATCACCCTGACACTATCTAAAAACAATGCACCAATTTCTGTCGGTGCGTTTTAATTTAAGTTTTCTATCACTAGTCAACTCAACTCAAGAAATACAACCAAGGGACAGGTGTTGAAAATTCTCATTAGCTACACATACGCTAAAATGTTTACTCAATATGTCAATGTGCTTGCATCAGTCCCTATTATAACAAAGAGGGCATGAAAGCGCATTCTGATAAAGGCATGTTAGCACATTCTACATCAAACACTGCAGCTTGTACAGTCATCCTGTGTTGGTACGACAGTCATGTAGGGTGTCATCAGCTAACACAGTGTAGTGATACGACAGGAGAGGGAGCTCCGCTTACGTTAGAATTCATCCGCCGCACAATGTCTCGGATAACGATGGATCGATCTATAAGTTTCAGCTGCAAGAGAGGGTGGAGAAAAGAGAGAGGGGGTGAGATGAGAACATCATAGAATATATAGACAAGACTGACAACTGACGTGGTCTAATTTCAGTGGTCATTTAGCATCTTGGTGGCAGCTGGGATGCCATTGGGTCCCGGTTTCCAACCCAATCATCTCATCTGAACCCAGTCTTATGACTGCTGCCTGATACCAATAGTGATAACGCAACAGTGAGGTAAGGCTGTGCTAAATACTAGTCAACCTTTTCCAAACCACAATAATGTACGTACGCACCTCTGATCACACAACACTATATAGTACAAGGTATGAAAGTCTCGACTTTGACCGCAACTTCCCCCTGCCTGGTCTCTCTCATCCAAATGACACAAGGTCGTACAGAGATGATGCGGTCTATAGACAGTGCACTGAGTTTATTCAGGGATCTCTGGGGAAGCGGGGATAAGAGTATCCGAGTAGAAGATCAACATTTGGATGTCAGAGGGTTCAGTTCAGTCTCACTCTCGGCACACACACACACACACACACACACACAGAGCTGGGAAAACACTGTTGGAATTATGTCCTTGTTAGTATACAAAACGTCACAGAGAATAGAATACTAAAATAAAATGCCAAAATTCCACCACTGCAGCAGGAGTGGCAGTTCAAGAGAGGCACTACTAATTACAAATTATCTATATACCCTGGCAGCCCTAGGTACAGCAATAGCCTAATAATAGATTGGTGGGTGGATAGATAAATAGATTAAAGGATGATAGATGAATGAAGGAATTGGTATACAGGGAAATTACTAAATGAAAGCAGAATTTACTGGGTGGAAGTAATCAATGAGTGAAAGGAGGATAAATAGGGTTGGGACTGATTGGGTAAGGCTGTAACTGGGTCATGTCTAGATGAGATACAGCTTTTGTCAAATTTGACATCAAAAGTTGCTAACCCTAACCCTTTTCCTAACCGTAACCTAATTCTCCTAACTTGCTACTATAATTATCCTAACCTGCTGCGTAAGTTCTAAACGTGCTACGAAAAGTCAATTGACAAAAGCTGTATCCTTTCTAGACAAAACCCAATAACTGAGGGGTGGGAGGGGAGCACAGATGCCTTATCAGGGGCTGACTGGGAAAGCCTGTGCCTCCGAGTGCCGTTCTCCTGTGAACACAATCATCCACCATGTTGATGCAGTAGACAAACATGACTGGGAAATGGGAATTACACACAGGAGAATTAGCTGAGCCCATGCAATACCAGACCCACTAAAGAGTCAAATCAGCTCGTTGCTGTCTATTCCATTTTCCAAGTGATGACACGTACTGTTCTCAAATGTGTGGAGACAGACAGATCGCTCTTCAAAGGCAAGAGTCATTCAGTAAGCCAGGCATAGGCTAGTGGTGGGGTGGCAACATGCTCCATAATACTAATCAGTGTAATTTGGCTAGCGCTAGTAGTGGCAAGCTGCTCCTCTGGCTGGAGTTGGAATGGTTGGCAGCTGCCAGCCGGATGCCATCACCTACAATATACTTATGGAGGAGAGAGGAGGGAGGCAGGACGAGAGATGATTAGGAGAAAGAAGAGAGGAGAGAAAATTAGGAGGGAGGAAGTGTGGTTATGAAGTGGAAGGGAAGGGTGTGTGTTTGCCAAAATTGGACATTATGGAGATATAAACGCTATTACTTTTGTAATCCTGTATCTCTTGTACACACCAATCTGATTGGGGAGAGGAGGTGGGCAAGATGGGATCGATGCTCCCGTGTAAACTCTTTACACATAACGCCGTCTTAACCGTCACACCACTCCCAGTGTAGAGGGTGGACACACTCATGCATGCACACTTACGCAAACACAGACAGGCCTACACTGAAGCACAGTCCCATGTGTGTGTTTAGTGATTCTAATTCTGCCATGGAGAAGAGGGGTCAGGCAGCCTCCGGATGCACCAATATTCTCACTGCATAGGAACCATGAGGCTAAAATCAATACATACTCAACCAAATATGATGGAAGCAACCATGTGAAGTACTAAGATATGACATTACAATAGAATACAATAGGGCATGCCACACCTTCCAGGAAGCATATTCTACCATGACTATTTTATAGCTATCAAAACAATCCAATTTAGCTTAGTTATCATTCATTATTCATGGGATGCTTGTAACACAGTCGCAGTTCCATCCCCAGAAATAGTCCGAGGGAGAGGAGGACAGGATGAGAGGGAGAGAGCAGAGGAAGGGTATACAGTCTCTGAGCTCATCTCATTTAGAACTGCTGGTGATCGAGAGCTCCGAAAAAGAACAGCATGAATATCTTCCCTCTCTTCCTTTTCTAGTCTTGTATTTTTTTCTCCCCAGGCCCACCAAAGGAAGCTAGGCCTATTTCCTAGAGATGTCACCACTGACTGTCTCATCTGTTGCCTGTCTGTTCACTGCTCAATGAGCTGATCTGTGCCTCGCCGCATCCTGCACAAATCACTGCTCCTCCTGTAGGTATGGAACACACAGTATGCAATCCAGTTATGCATACAAATGGAACACGTCACAGTTGCTCACGTGCATACATAAAACTCTCACATTACATTGCATTGCATATGTTTTGCACACAGGCTATGTAAAACTATTAACACAATGAGAACATACACACTTTCTCCCCTTGTCTGAACAATGATCCTAAAGCTAGAAATATCCAGAGGAAAAACGCTGAAAACATCCTTAGTGTGTGTCGTATGTTGGAGGATTGCCTGTCGACGCGATAGCGGTGTTCAGGAATTCAGTGGAAACACCTGTCAGTATTGGAGTCTTTTGTTCAGGCACCAGTAACTGTCCAATAACAATGGCTGTTAGTCAGCAGCACAGCGTCAAGCGGCAGCCTGGAAACCAGCAGGCTGTTCTGTAAAAGGTGCTGTTAAAGAGGGGGAGGTATCTCTCATACACACTAGTGCCAACACAATAGCAAACAGACACACACACACACAGGCTACTAGAACACACAAACAAAAGGGACATCTCTCTGAAAGGGCGAGCTAAGCTGTCAGGCTAAAGGCTAACAAAGCAGATCAAAATGTACAACTGTTCCTTTGTCTCATCTCAAGGATGGAGAGTTCTTGTCTGGTGATAGAACAGCATTTCTTAAACTAGGGGTTGAGATAATTCGCCGCTTGGTTCATAGAACCACGGTTACGTGAGTAACCTCCGATATCCACTAAATGTGGTCATGACAGAGTTTTGTTTTCTTCCTACAAATGCCTGATCTTCTGAACTTTCCAATCCCTTTGATGCATTTCAGTTATTTCAAACCCTACTTCCTTCAGTTTGAAATACCGTCAGACTGATTTGTAATTGACTGCCATAGCCCCAAATAAAAAAAGTAAACATTGGCTGTTGATTACATCACATTTTTTGTTTTAATAATTGAAAATAATATACAGTGAGGGAAAAAAGTATTTGATCCCCTGCTGATTTTGTACGTTTGCCACTGAAAAGACATGATCACATATTTTAAGGTAGGTTTATTGAAGTGAGAGAAGAAAACAACAACAAAAATCCAGAAAAACATGTCATATAAATTGATATAATTAGGGAATAAGTTTGATTCATCAGAAAGATTCTGCTCCAGGTGTCTTTATAAGTAACGAGTGATAGAAGCACACTTAAAGGATGCTCCTAATTCATATACCTGTATAAAGACACTGTCACAGAAGCAATCAATCATCAGATTCCAAACTCTCCACCATTGCCAAGACCAAAGAGCTCTCCAAGGATGTCAGGGACAAGATTGTAGACCTACACAAGGCTGGAATGGGCTACAAGACCATCGCCAAGCAGCTTGGTGAGAAGGTGACAACAGTTGGTGCGATTATTCGCAAATGGAAGAAACACAAAAGAACTGTCAATCTCCCTCGGCCTGGGGCTCCACGCAAGATCTCACCTCGTGGAGTTGCAATGATCATGAGAACGGTGAGGAATCAGCCCAGAACTACACGGGAGGATCTTTTCAATGATCTCAAGGCAGCTGGGACCATAGTCTCCAAGAAAACAATTGGTAACACACTACGCCGTGAAGAACTGAAATCCTGCAGCGCCCGCAATGTCCCCCTGCTCAAGAAAGCACATATGGACGGGGCCATTGACACTCAAATCTTGGGTGAGAACCTCCTTCCCTCAGCCAGGGCATTGAAAATGGGTCGTAGATGGGTATTCCAGCATGACAATGACCCAAAACACACGGCCAAGGCAACAAAGGAGTGGCTCAAGAAGAAGCACATTAAGGTCCTGGAGTGGCCTAGCCAGTCTCCAGACCTTAATCCCATAGAAAATCTGTGGAGGGAGCTGAAGATTCGAGTTGCCAAATGTCAGCCTCGAAACCTTAATGAGTAGTGGGACAAAATCCCTCCTGAGATGTGTGCAAACCTGGTGGCCAACTACAAGAAACATCTGACCTCTGTGATTGCCAACAAGGGTTTTGCTACCAAGTACTAAGTCATGTTTTGCAGAGGGGTCAAATACTTATTTCCGTCATTAAAATGCAAATCAATTTATAACATTTTTGACATGCGTTTTTCTGGATTTTTTTGTTGTTATTCTGTCTCTCACTGTTCAAATAAACCTACCATTAAAATTATAGACTGATCATGTCTTTGTCAGTGGGCAAACGTACAAAATCAGCAGGGGATCAAATACTTTTTTCCCCCTCACTGTATATATATCAAAATGGGGTAACGGGCATGGACTGTCATTTCCCTTTGCTTATTTGAGCTGTTCTTGCCATAATATGGACTTGTTTTTTTACCAAATAGGGCTCTCTTCTATATACACCACCCCTACCTTGCCACAACACAACTGATTGGCTCAAACGCGTTAAGGAAAGAAATTCCACAAATTAACTTTTAACAAGGCACACCTGTTAATTGAAATGCATTCCAGGTGACTACCTCATGAAGCTGGTTGAGAGAATGCCAAGTGTGCAAAGCTGTCATCAAGGCAAAGGGTGGCTACTTTGAAGCATCTCAAATATATTTCGATTTGTTTAACACTTCTTTGGTTACTACATGATTCCATATGTGTTATTTCATAGTTTTGATGTCTTCACTATTATTCTACATTGTAGAAAATAGTTCAAATAAAGAAAAACCCTTGAATGAGTAGGTGTCCAAACTTTTGACTGGTACTGTATATATACAGAGCATTCAGAAAGTATTCAGAACCCTTGACTTTTTCCACATTGTTACGTTACAGCCTTATTCTAAAATTGATTAAAATGTTTTTTCACTCCCTCCTTATTTACACACACAATAACCCATAATGACAAAGCAAAAACTGTTTTTCAGAAAAGTTTGCACATTTTAAAAAAATAACTGAAATATCACATTTACATAAGTATTCAGACCCTTTACTCAGTACTTTGTTGAATCACCATTGGCTGCGATTACAGCCTCGAGTCTTCTTGGGTATGACGCTACAAGTTTGGCACACCTGTATTTGGTGAGTTTCTCCCATTCTTCTCTGCAGATCCTCTCAAGCTCTGTCAGGTTGGATGGGGAGCTTCGCTGCACAGCTAGTTTCAGGTCTCTCCAGAGATGTTCGATCAGGTTCAAGTCCGGGTTCTGGCTGGGCCACTCAAGGACATTCAGAGACTTGTCCCGAAGCCACTCCTGCGTTGTCTTGGCTGTGTGATAGGGTCATTGTCTGAGGTCCTGAGCGCTCTGGAGCAGGTTTTCATCAAGGATCTCTGTACTTTGCTTCTTTCATCTTTCCCTCGATCCGGACTAGTCTCCCAGTCCCTGCCGCTGAAAAACATCCCCACAGTATGATGCTGTCACCATAGGGATGGTGCCAGGTTTCCTCCAGATGTGATGCTTGGCATTCAGGACAAAGAGAAGAGTTCAATCTTGTTTTCGTCAGACCAGAGAATCTTGTTTCTCATGGTCTGAGAGTTCTTTAAAGTGCCTTTTGGCAAACTCCAAGCGGGCTATCATTTGCCTTTTACTGAGGAGTGGCTTCCGTCTGGCCACTATACCATAAAGGCATGATTGGTGGAGTGCTGCAGAGATGGGAGAAACTTCCAGACGGACAACCATCTCCACAGAGGAACTCTGGAGCTCTGTCAGAGTGACCATCGGGTTCTTGGTAACCTCTCTGACCAAGACCCTTCTCCCCCAATTGCTCAGTTTAGCTGGGCAGCCAAACTGAGCAATTGGGGTTTCCAAACTTTTTCCATTGAAGAATGATGGAGGCCACTGTGTTCTTGGGGACCTTCAATGCTGCAGTAATGTTTTGGTACCCTTCCCCAGATCTGTGCCTTGAGACAATCCTGTCTCGGCGCTCTACGGACAATTCCGTTGACCTCATGGCTTGGTTTTTGCTCTGACATGCACTGTCAACTGTGGGACTTTATATAGACAGGTGTGTGCCTTTCCAAATCATGTCCAATCAATTGAATTTACAACAGGTGGACTCCAATCAAATTGTAGAAACAGCTCAAGGATGATCAATGGAAACAGGATGCACCTGAGCTCAATTTCAAGTCTCATAGCAAAGGGTCTGAATATCTACAGTACCAGTCAAAAGTTTGGACACACCTACTCATTATTTTTTTTTACTATTTTCTACATTGTATAATAATAGTGAAGACATCGAAACTATGAAATAACACATATGGAATCATGTAGTAACCAAAGAAGTGTAAAACAAATTAAAATATATTTTATATTTGAGGTTCTTCAAATAGCCATCCTTTGCCTTGATGACAGATTTGCACACGCTTGGCATTCTCTCAACCAGCTTCACCTGGAATGCTTTCCCAACAGTCTTGAAGGAGTTCCCACAT